ATTTCATATGATGCCTCGCTGTCTCTTTCAGCATCCAGGGTACTGCTGTCAGCAGAGGCACGTGGTGGCTCCTTACGGAGTCATGATATTCCAAAGGTAGTGTCCCTGGACTTGTGATGAGGCTGCAGTGTCTGTGATCTCAAGGGAGGAGTTTTCTGGGGTACGCCTTCTTTACCAGTTTATCTTTCAGAGCTGTTCTGTGTGAAACAGTTTTGTCCCAAGCAAATCTARGAACTGAACTGTATGAAGCAGAAGGCCTCAAAGAAATGAGCAGTTTCSTGCTCTTATAAAAAGACCTTTGTATCACTAGCCAAATACTGTGTGATCTTGTATGTCACTAAGCTGGCTGAGCAGATCAGCTGACTGAAATGAGATAGATAGCTGATCGCTTGGAAAGCTAGAAATATTTCTTGCTCTTTTATGTTAATGTTATGCTGTATTTCCATGCTACTCTTTCAGTTAAAGTCTCCTATTAAAAAAGGAAAATTGCACCGTATTGCAAGGACAAAGAAAAAGGAGCATATATATTTGTATCATAATTATTTCTGTGGACTTAATAGCAAATGTGTTGATGTGAAGAGCTTGAAATCTACATTCAGAGTTCACAAACTAGTATGTTCACACGTGCTCAGAACTAGGGGCAATATCTTCAAAATGCTAATGTTTGTTGGAATATCTAGTGACCCATGCAATTCCTAGAGTCAAAATCCAGACTGAAGTAGCTTAAGTAGAAAGACAGCGAAGGTTATACGTAGGTGTTATGTGTGCTCCTCAGCTGCTCACGGAGCAGGACCTGGTTGGTTAGATGCCTGGAGTTTGCGCTTAGTAYCTGAGCCTCTCAGTTACGGCAGAGTATTTCCCTAGTGAAGGGTAGTGATTGCCAGGTAGGGCTGATCATAGGTAGTTTCCTTTTTGAATCTTTCAGCACTGTTTCACTTTTTTTTTTCTTTCCTTTTTTTTTTTTTTAATCTTTTTTAAGGGAAAGACAAAATGAGCCCTTTCTTTTTCCTGGATGTTGGGCATTCTCGCCTAGTCTACTTCTGGAACAGAAACCTGCCTTTCAACTCGACGAATGAGACGTACTGCTACAGCACTGCCCAGGGCAGCACCGTGCTCCAAGGAGTGACTTTTGGTGGAATTCCCACTGTCCTGCTGCTCGATGTAACCTGTTTTTTTGTAAGTCCAGTTTCTGTTGCTTGTCTTTAAAACACTTCTGGCCTTTTCTAATGYTAGGCTGTCCAGAATTCCATGCTTATTGGGTAGGGAAATCCCTGTTTCCCAGAATCTTCGTCCTATGTATGTATAAATATATAGGATATAAATGTGCTCATGCGATACTGGGAGCTTCAAACCACTTTTCAGTTATTATGGGGATTCACATATACTTGGAATGGCAGTGTCACTGTATGTTGGACATGTGGATGTGGAGAGACTGTAGGGTCTTATGTGCAAACTCAGTGATGGGRTTAGTGGTAATTGCTCAGATTTCTGCACCTTAACTGCAAGAACATCTTTTTCTTTACTGCTGTAAAGCACAGAATACTATTTTAAGGAAGGGAAAGCTACTGCTGAATTGCTTAAGAAGAGGGAAAACATCCTGGTTGTTTTGCAGAAGGAAGTAAAAACATGTGTTTCGAGGTAGATTCCACGAAGCTGTAGAAGAAATAATGCAGTGATCAAGATGAGTCCTGACAAAAGGAGGAATAAAACTTAAGTGTTGGTCCAGAAGCTCCAAGAGAGACCTGACACTGACATAAAATTTATGGTTATTTCCATGAATATGGTCTAGATGGGTTTAAGCTGCCACAAAAAGAGCTATTAAACCTGCAAACTGGCCTAGTAAATGAGGTTTCTGGTAATAAAACAAGACCAAAGGAATCATGTAATCACTGAGTCCTGGAAAGCCACTGTGGGGGAACTTAAAATCRCCTGTGGAACTGGAGCTGGTAGTTCAATAGGAACCTAGAGAATGAGTAAAATGTTCCAAAAATTATGAAGTGGTATTCTTTGGATTTGACTTGGAGATATAGTATGCTACCTTAAAAGCATTTTGTGGGGATGYAGAGCATTTACAGCTCTGAGAGTGACTCCAAAGGGTTTAATAAGATARAATCTCTTTTGAGGGTTATTTTGTTTCCTTTCTTTTTATTTAGACATGGTTTAATTTTAAGACATCAAGTCTGTGCTTTTGATCYCTTTTCTGTTGAATCCTCCTCTCGAACAGCTTTAGGTAGTGAGTTAGCTGCACTACATCCCTTTTTTTTTCTTCTTTTCTTTAAGTATTGCTTACTCTCTTTGGCAACTTCTCTATTTCTTTACTCATGACATAGTTTATTGCAGTCTCTTTAATAACTGTCAGTTGATGGGTTGTTGAATATTACTTCTAGGGTGATTTTGTAAGGGGAGTGTGGTTTGTATGCATTACATGGCCTGCCCCTTTCGTCTGTCAGTTTCTCCCAACAACTGTCCAATACACGAACCAATTTCAAGCAGTTTCAGAATTTTCAGAGTCTGCAGAACCTGATGGCTTTGAAATATCCAAGTTGCATGAAACGTAATAGTACAAGAAAGATCAAAACTCATGTTACCTGTTCAGGGAAGGCTAAAAATTCATTGTGAAAGACAGAAATGAGCAGGATAGTCCTGATGTGCATAGTGGCTGGCCAGTGAGTATTTGCATGGCTCCCAGTAAATTACAGCACAAGCAGCACTTTCCAGCCAGACAGGTACTGGGATGTAGGAGGGGCTGGGAGGTAAGGGCATGGTGATATAGATGTAGTAAAACAGGCCTTGTTAGTTCTGTTTGGTACTGAGCAACTTGCTTTTTTTGGTTTGTTTTGTTTTTTGTTTTTTTCCTCCTTCAAGTCTCTTTCAAGAAGTGAAAGTACAAAGGATAGGTCAAAAATTGTTTTCTGCTTTTGAGTTATAATAATTCATTACTTATGGTAGGAGGGATAACAGTAATTTTCATGCTTGAGAAGGAGATTGAACTCTCCACAGCTACTTACCATGCTGGAAGAAATGTATTATAGGTCTTTCAGCATAGTTCTCTGTATTAAGTTATGAATAATAGTAAAGGCACATTTATGAAAAGTTTGGGGTTTTGCTCAGTACAGCTTACTGCTTTTCCTATGTGTCACAGACCTTCATATACTTTCAGTTAAGAAATACTTTTCTGTATTTCCCACCTTTATAAATTGAACCAGGAAAACCGATGTCAAAATCCTTTGTTCCTTTACAGGTTTGTGTAGYTGATCACTAGGTTAGATAACAGTGAAGTTGCTTTCAGATTGAGGGGAATATCTTATCTTGAACATCTGTTCTGTACAGCTAGCAATAGTCATTCTGAAATGAAAAGCAAATGGTCAAAGATGTTTCTTTTTATTTTTTAGATTTTAATATTGGTGTTTTCCATTATAAGAAAGAGATTCTGGGACTATGGTCGTGTTGCTCTTGTGTCAGAAACTGAAAGGTAAGAAGATATGCAATCAAACTGACTTGCTGAAACTATTTTGGAAGTAAGTGCAGTAAATAGAACTTAAATTAAGTGAATTTTGTATGAATTAAGCATGAGATTAATTGCATGCATATATTTGTTTACAATGTCCTCCTGTGTGAAATACATTTCTCCTCTTGGACTTCCTCTTTGCAGTGTCAATAATAAAGTTGTGTGTTTGCAGTTGCCCTTATGAATTTAATTCTATAGCTGTGGCTAAAGGAAGTAGAAACAGGGGGGAAAAAAAAGGCATAGGCTGTTAGCAGTCATGCTCACAGTGTGTTTCTGTGGCAGAAGGAGGATATTAACTGTTAATTTTTTGGRCTCAAGACCAATACCTCCCCAGAACTGCCCGTATCATAGGTTTTTTTTTAATGGCTTAAAAATATATTTTAAAAAAGCCTCTTCAGTTGTAGAACTTACCTTTCTAGACTTCTAAGCCTGTGTTGCATCCTGTAATGATACTGGTGTTTAATATCCCAGTAAAACTTGTTCTTTATTGTACAAGCTTGTTTCTCARTTTTCAGCACAAGATACAGCATGAGGTTTTTATAACTAAGCATATACTACAATATGACAACTGTAGCCTTCGTAAATGAAAAWGTGTTTTTATAGTCCTTTCTGTAGTTATTTCAGAAATGTTCAGTTGTATGTTGTATGTATGTATTACTGCAGATACCTAATATCGTCTCCTGTATTTTAGTGAATCAAGGTATAGCCGGTTGTCAACATCCTCATCAGTGCCTGAAGAGCTAGAATATGACAATGTAGGTATTACAGGGTTTTGTTATGTTTTTAATGTAAAGCTTTTTTTTTACAATTTTTATGTAAAATATGCTATTGAAAGCTAGCGTAGTTTGCTGCTTTGCCTAACCCAACAAACCAGTCCTTGCATGTTAGATGGTCTTTCAGCTTAAAACTCAGTAGTGCAATTGTGTACTGTGTTTTCATCAAAATCATCATTTCATGTAATCTCTCCTGCTTGCCTGTCAAACTAGTGCTTGTCATAAATTAATACCTTGTCCCTGTTGTCTTTAAGTACCTTTTCTGTTTTTAAGTAGTAGAAAGGTTATACAGTAATGTTTGGGAGTAAGGGAAGAAAGGGAAGAATAGCAAGTAATTTGTGCTTTAATATTTTGAACTAAGTTATTATGTTCACATTGTAAATAATACCCTATTGATGCTTATAGTACTTTTTCCTCATGAAGTTAAAGAAACTAGGCACAAGGATSATACAAGTAATAGTGACAGATAGTCTTGATGTTAAGACTGTTTAGAAATGGAAGATACATTTTTGGCCAGGCTTTTAACTGGATCCACACRTGGTCTTTTTGAGCTCTTTGAATTCTTGCTGCCTCTGTCATTCTTTGTTGCAGCTTCAGAGTGAAGCTGTAAGAGGGTTGTTCAAGGGTGGCACCCAGTATTTTAGTGTTTCATATATTCATGAATTTAACATCTAGTCTTGGAACTAAATAGTTGTGTGAGCATCAAAAGCATATTGGTGTTTGATCGGGAGTGCTATGGTATTTGGGTTTTTTTTAGCCCTGAAGCAACTTTATAATTACATCTGCGGAATAAAAATGCATCTCTTTAGTTAGATGTTATTCCCTTACAGGACCTTTCATGAGAGATTTTTTTTTTTTTTTTTTGATGCATAGAGCTAAGAAAGTGAATAGAAACACTTCTCTCAGTACAATTTAGAGACTGATATTTCTTATACTTTAGCTCCTGACACTTCCTTCTTTATCTGTAGGGATTTTGTTCTTGGATGACAGCTGCCTTTCGGATGAAGTAAGTACATGAAACAGAGGTAGTAAGCTGTGGTTGCTTTCCCTCTTTTATTTTTTTATTTAGAAAATAAAGAAGGCTTTGCACTCACTACACAAAGGATCTTTTTTTTTTTTTTTTTTTTTTTTCTTCTGGAGTAGTTAGAATTAAATGCAAATAGTTAAAGCTGAAGGCACCCCTAGTATTTTGGCTGATACTGGGGTGACAAAAACAAGGTGAGCATATAACAGTACTTAGGATGCTATGACCTTTCTGTTAGTAACTCGGGAATTTACTGATGCCAGGAAGAGTGTGTGGGTGAGAATGAATCTGTGACATTCACATGGATTCGGAGCTAATAACTACGCTCTAGGCTTTTATCCTTCAAAGAGGACTGTGTGGGTGTTCCTGTTTGAAGCCAGTAGTGCTACAGGCAGGAACCAGGGCTTCCCTGCAAGGATTTCTGTGGAGAACTGGTGGTTTAGTTGGGGATGGAATTTGCTAACTGGGGAATGTCTGTCCCCATCGTTTTCAAGAAGCTGAGCATTAGACGTGTGATGTTGATTCTTTAAAAATCATGTTTTACTACTCAAGAGAGATAAAACTTAACTTCTATCTGCATATATTGAAACAAAAAAGGGGGAGGAGAGGATTTAGCTACGTTCAGTTTCTTCCTTTCCCCTCAATTCATATTTCAGTGCTCTGTCCTGTTGACAATAGATAGATGGTGGTAGTTCTTTCCACAGTCTGTTAATATCTTTGGTTAATTTGGAATCATAAGAATAAGGTAATCATTCCTCTCATGGGGAGCCTTTATGGACATGAGTGAACACTGCTACAGTCTGATCCCAAAGTTCAAGAGCCGGATTTGGGTCTGTCATAAAGCAGGAGTTCATGACAGATGACTTTGGCCTCTAGAGTTGTAAAAGGAACATGTTTGTTTTTCAGATCACTTGTGTCTATCTTAAATTCCCTTTTACTATTTCTTTTGTGTGTTGATATCACATAATATATTTCTGGAAGTGAAAAACGGTCAGTTTATTTTCAAAAAACCAAAATTACAGTGTTGAAGATTGACAGAGATTGTTAGAGAAGTCATTGTGGAGACTGAGAAATTTATGTATTTAAAAGAAAACGACTATCCCCAAGTTGCACAGACTGACTGTGCTTTTCCATGATGCAGTGATGATGAGATTCATGACAGATGTGGTGAAGATGCCATACATTACCTTGCCTTCCAGCGTCACATCATTTGCTTGTTGATTGCTATCAGCATCTTGTCTGTGTGCATCATACTGCCTGTCAACCTGTCGGGTGATCTACTAGGTAAGAATATTTTCCATTCGTAGAAGAATTGCCTGTTCCATAATATTGCTAAAGTTTGGGGATCTCTTTTGTTATGGCAAACTTGGCAAGTTYCTTTTTTTGGGGCAGTGTATGTCATTTAGCACAACCGCTTGTGTGACAGTAGCAGGAAGGGGTCTTTAAGCAGAGGGCAAAAGCTGTTGCCAGAAATGAGATGATAAGCAACATACGTGTAGTCATTAAAACAACAACATAAAAGGAAGACTCACAGCAGGATTAACTTTACCTGCGCCCTCTTGGTTGGTGTTTGCCAAGGCATTCTTTTATGGTTATTAYTGATTTGCACAGGTTGGGTGTGGAAACTTTGTTTTCACAGTGTAGGATTTCTTTTTTTCCTGATGTCTGAATCTTTTGCTCTAATTTAAGCCTGTTACTTTTTGACCTGTCGTATTGGAGAACAGATTGTTYTCTCCTTTGCAATCACAGGATGTTTGAAGTTGGAAGGGACCTCTAGAGATTATTTAGGCCAAGCTCCTGGTCAAGTAGGGTGATCAGAGGAAGCAGTGTGAAGGAAATTGTTTAGGAACCAGACTCACGTTGTTTATAGTAGTGAAGAAAGATAGAAGGAGCAAGTAATAAGCTCCAGGGATCTGATATTCTTTCTTTATTTAGTTAGTTTAATAATGTGTTATTTCCCTTGTATTTCTCTTGGTGGGTTGAATGTGGTATATTCTGGGGCAAAGGGAGAGGATTACAACTTCAAAATACAATGCTGTATAGACCAGTGTTACTTTGAGTCTGAATCTCTTTAAAGGTGARAATGATCTGCTTTAACGAGGAACTTACCAGCCTCTTAAAAATCTGTCTTTCTCATGGATTGCATGTGAATTTTGCACCAGTTAATTTTGCTGCTACTTTTTGTTGTTCTCAGATAAAGATCCTTATAGTTTTGGAAGAACAACTATTGTAAATTTGCAGACTAGGTAAGTAAATCTTGAAGAGTATTTTCTGTGCTTTTGTCTTGTTCCTGCCATAGCCTCTGAGCACATGAATTGACACTTGTAGCATGCCTTGTAGGGTAGGCATTACTTATTTATGCTTCATGTACTGAAACTGGGATRTGTTCTGCTTCGGGCTATGCAATTGCAATGCTGATAAGAAATCTAGAAAACTTGGCTTCTACCCTCTGCTCTTACATTCTTGCACTGTATTTCTCTTGGCCAATAACTGCTCGTGTAGCAAAGATTATTTTCAGATTTTTTTCATGTTAAATCATATTTCAGAAAGCAAAATAAAACAGTTTTACTGGAATATATAGCTCAGATGACTTAAATTCTCTTTCATCAGATTTGTGTGTGTACATCTGTCTCATCTAAGAAACTTGTAGTCTATAACATAATTAAGGAAGAAAAGCACCCACTGATGCTCTTAAGTTTAGTTAAAGTCTTTGTCAATACACTTTCTTTCTGTTAACCTTACAGTAATTCTTGTACTTGAAGGGTTTTTGTTTTTTGTTTTAATTTGGAAAACAGAATCTTTTATATATTTTAGATTGATTGTGGTTATTAATGTTCTTTACAAACTGTAAAACTGTTCCCAGAACACAGTTTTTGTGAGCTTTGCAAAAGGAGCTACTAGAGACTCAGACTTTCTTCCCTATATTCAGGCTGTATTCAAATTGGGTAAAGTTTGTGTTCAAGGAGAGTTCTGCTCATCACRGAAACTAGTAAAAGCAACAAAAAATGTTTGGCTGGTCGATCAAGTAGGGTRTGCTACTTACCATGTAAATAAGAAGGTGCAAGCCACTTGCTACCTGGAAGTTGTCTGTGTCACAGGGAAGCTATGGTTTATGGTAAAACTTTATGGGTAACCTAATGACAGTCCAAAGCAACCTCATGACATAACCAGTTACCCCTTAATACCGCCTTTTTTGTCCATTTGTGTTCAAAGGGATGTGCTTGCCTGCTTAACCTTTTGATAACTACTTGCATCAATTAGGTAGCTAATTYTTCCTATTTCTGATATTCATGTTTTTCATATTCAGTAACAATCTTCTTTGGCTGCACACCGTTTTTGCTGTTGTTTACCTGATTCTGACTGTTGTCTTCATGAGACACCACATGAAGTATGTCACGTACAAGGAGGAAGATATAGTAAGTGAAAAGGACATTTAGCATGTTTCAAAGTGGATAATAAGAAAAAAAAGCGAATACTAAGATGCCTTTTTCTTGCTAAAATCTAGCATTATATGTGAGGAATGAAGGAATTCACTGAAGGCAAATTGCACTGAGTGAATTGTGAAAAAAGGAGAAATGTAGAGTGGAATTTATGAAGTTTGGCTGCCCTATTGCCAATGTAGAGGATAAACGCGGTGCTTTGTTACATTGGTGCAGTTTCCATTAAAATCAGAATTTCTCCTCCTCCTCTCCCTGTGTCATTCTTGTCTCTTTGTTAGTGGTGTGGTTCTCGGAATTGGAACTTTTTTCCTTTTTTTCTCTCTTGCAGGTTAAGTGTACATTATTTGTAACTGGTCTTCCTAAAAATGCAAAAGAAGAGGCCATACAAGGTCATTTCACGTAAGTTCCAAGCTTGATTAATACCTTTAAGAACTGGTGAATTAAAACTGTTTTGGCAGTTTCACTTCCCTGGAGTAGAAGTGTCTGACTTTTGCACTGTTTCAAATTTGTATTATAGTATGGGACTCACAGAGTAGAGACTGGAATGAAAATAACATATTTCAGTAAAGCTAGTTAGCTGATATTAAAGTTGGAATCTAAGAAAGTGACTGAAGAAATATCCACACTTCTCATTCCTGACACCACGTGGCCCTTAGCTGTGAATAATCCTGCACGTCTCTCATGAAAATATTTTCAGTAGGTGTTTGCATGGAAGTGTCTCTGCTTCCATGATACTTCATTCAGAAATAAAGTATGTGACTGTAATGTGAGTGGGTTGTCACTGTAACTTCTGTTCTTACTGTTCCTGTTTCTTCTGCTTCTTTTTTAGGTCTGCTTACCCTACTTGCAATGTGCTGGAGGTCCAGCTATGTTATGATGTAGCCAGGCTAATCTATCTATTCAAAGAAAGGTACCTTTATTCATGTTCTAAATTTAACCTACATTTCTAGTAAGTAGTGTGCTCTGTATGTGACATAAGATAGGCTTTGATCAACTTGGTTTTATCAGGCAGTGCAAAGCAGAAAAACCAGCATCTGATTTCCTGACTCTGGGACTCTGCCTCGTTGGCCAGAGACAGTAATCACAGGTGGAAAAAGGTTGTGTTCTRGATACACTAGAATAACTTCTTTCTTTCTTCTGGAATCTGGCTACAAGTCTAGGCCATCCAATGTTATTACAGACTTGAAAAGGAAATTGCCTTATGTAGCCAAAATAAGGCACGCRAGTATCTTTGGGGACAGATTTATGTTACTAGTCCTTGACATAAGTTTTTGTCTTGGAGATTACATTCTCCTTCAGCTTGTTGTTCTCATGGAAAGTGTTATGGATTTTTTTTTTCTAGAAAACAGGCAGAAAAAAGCCTGAGTTACTATAAACATCTGTATCAAAAGTATGGCAAGCGAGTCCAAATCAGCACTAAGCCATGTGGTCARTTCTGCTGTTGTGAAATAAGAGGCTGTGAAAGGGTAAGTGCTTGTGCTCCTTTTTCATTACAACTAGATAGATCATTGTGAGAGTAGAAGAAAAAAGTTTGTGACGTTTTTGGAGGCTTTAGCACATTCTCTGTTCATTTATCACAGTTAGCTCATCTTTCATGTTCTTGTGCAGAAAAGGAACTGCCCCAAACTTTTGAAATTTGATCTTAATGCAAAAGCTGAAATACAAGGAAAGACTTCCTGTTGGTTGCCTTCGTCTTGTGATGTGATTTGTAATATATGGAAGTAGTAGRAGGAAGAGGGACTGTGATTTGTGTAGGCTCTGTTTTAATTAAGATCCCAACCATCTGTTGCTCGGATGTAACAGTCATCAATTTCCCCACAGGAAGATGCTATAGATTATTATACCAAAGTTACAAATAAACTGACAGAAGAATGCACAAAAGAGGAGCTSACTGTCTATAATAATCCACTGGGCATGGCTTTTGTTACCTTCCAGGAGAAATCCATGGCGACATAGTAAGTTTTGTGTGGTGTCTTGTTTGTTCTAACTGTATTAGTGCAGCTGTTCTTGTTTGTGTCCCTCTTGGTGGGATGTTCTCTCTCTGAGTACATCTTCTGAGTTGCGTTGCCTGCATCTTCTGAGCTGAGTTGTCAAGAAAACTGAAGAGGTTCTTGTTTGTTTAGTTTGGAACTGATGCAGTGGACTCTGTCCTCTGGGGGGGAAAAAAACTTGTATGTGTAAAAAAGAAATGATCAATTTGTAATTAACTTTATTAAATTCTTGCTGCTGCAAGATGCTGACAGTTTGACATCACTACTTGAATTCTGGTAAGGGGAAAAAATCTTTCTTTCTCTATTGCTTGGTTTTAGTTTGTGTAGTCCTCTGTTTTGCTTTATGCTAAGAACACTGCTGAGAACTAAGCATGTTCAGGAGCGTGAGCCCACACTGTTTCGGTGCTAGTGYAGCAGAACTCGAGTTGAGAGCAGTCCCTTTTTAACCCACACAGTTGTGCTCCATCTGAATCTATGCCCAACACTTCTGCTGGTGTGTCCCAAGAAGCCTTTGAAAACGTTTATTCTGTCGATGTTTAAATTTGCTTTAAATACATTGACTGCCAATCACTAGTTGATTAAAATWAGAAGAGAAAATAAAGTATTAAATTTATTTTGAGACTAGGCMAAAAAGGTAATATTCCCATTCTGGGGAGGCCAGCATGATAAAGGTCTGCTGAGAATTGGTACTCAAGGCTAAATTGGCCAGTTCTGATACTGGTGTAATGAAAACAGAGTGCAGACTAATCCTTTAGTCTGTGTTGGTGTGAAAATAGCTGTAATTCCATAAAGAGATGTTTTGGACTTGGAGATGGGTTCGTTGTGTTTTCCTCCCACAGTTTGTTTTGTTTTCCTCCCCCTCATCATACCTTGATTTTTATTTCTTTATTTTTTAATACAAGTTGCTGCTGCTGTTGGACATGTTGGTAGAAGCATTGAGCAGTTCAAACCACTACTATTTTATGTTTGCAAGTTTTGTCACATCTCAAGGTTATGTGGTAATAACTATTGATATGATGTATGATGGTGATTGAAATACACAGGATTTGGAAAAAAATCCTCCTCTTTTCGTCCTTACAGTATCCTTAAGGACTTCAATGCCTGCAAATGTCAGAGTATTAAGTGCAAAGGAGAACCCCAGCCATCCTCTTACAGCAGAGAGCTCGGCATATCCAACTGGAGGGTTACGTACGCGCCATATCCTGAGAATATCTGTTGGTAAGCAGCCTGCCTGCCGTTTACTGATGGCAAAGTGTGTTTAGAAGGGGACAGAACAAGAGGGCCTAGTGCATTTTCTCTAACTCTGTGTCTTTGCATAGTGCTTGGATTTGGGAGATCTGCACCTTTATGTCCATTCATGCTGTTCTCCAGTGATCTTGAGGAGGTCTTTTGGAGGCTGTTTTGCTGGCCCAAACTTCTAGTATCTGCAGTATCTATTAATTATTCATTTTAATTATTTCTTCTTTTGTTTTAGGTTAATATATGTATTAGGTTAATTTAGGTTAATATATGTATTTAGGTTAATATATGTATTTAGGTTAGATACATATATATATATATATGTATGTATTTTAACTTATATATATATGTATGTATTTTAACTTATATATTATATATGGTTACCTACATATATTATGTTAGCTAATACATATCTACTGTTGAGATCTGAGGTGAGTAACTTGTTGTTAGTGCTGAGTATTCTAAAAGCAGTTATATTTTTTGATTTGTCACGTGGTACTTCAGCTTATCACAAGGTCTAATACAGACTAAGGTCTATCTCCAAAAACTTTGTTATGGAACCAGTGAATTTTCCAGCCTTTCCCTACCACTTGAAGGAGATTGCCTGAAAATAGGTAAATGCTTTTTTTCAAACAAGCTGCTCCTGTGCTGCCTTTGTCATTTTTATAAGCTAAAAAACTACTGAGTTTGCTTTGTAAATAGCTTAAGGTTGGATCAGTATGATGCATATTTACATAATAATTTTGGATGACGTCCTTTGCCCAACACGAAACTACAAGTGAGACACAAGCACACAGGCGTTTACTGTATTTCATCGGTATCTAACATTAAAAAAAGAGTAACTTCTTTTATAATGCCTTTAAAAGAAAAATACTTTTAATATGGCTGTGGCATCTAGCTCTAATAATTGCAGAATTTGTTCTCAGCTGCAGAACTGCAGTTCTAGAGAAGAGTACAGATTCTTAACTGCAAAGCGAGCATCRCTGTTTCTTAGCTGTGCTTTTCCAGCTGTGGTGTTTGGCAGTGTGAAAGGAGAAGCTCTTGGCAGCCTCTTTTGTGGCAGGATCAGTTAAACCTGCCCTGTTCAGGCGAGGTGCTCAGATGTGCCCTTCCTTTGCTCCTCCCTCCTCCTCCAAGCCCTGTCCTAGAGATGAAGTTAGCCCTGCCACTCAGCCCCTTGAAGCATTTGCAGAGCATCCCTAAATGTCCCTGCAGGTTGTTCTTGAAGCAAGAGGCTCACCAAGAGAACTGCTGTAAAGGGGGACAGTATTGTCTCTGTCTCAGTTTTGACTGTTTTAAGTGGTTAGCTTTGGCCAAGGTTCAAATTATTCCGATCCTTTTGGGAACTGCTTTGGATAATGTTTAAGAACTGTATTCCTCCTTAAGATCCATAGTTGCTATTTTAAGTTGGGAGGAAAGGATTTTTTTTTTTTCTTTTTAAAAACAGTTTCTTGGTAGATTCCACTTTTGGTAGCTGGTCTCCCTGCAAAAAATCTTCTTATCCTTGCAWTCTCTTCTCATTCTAATTTCCTGCTTGGTACTTCTGTACTACTGTATTATTAAATAGTGCAAGTGTTGAATATTGTGTTTTGCAGCGTTAAGAAGACTAATATGTTATTCTGAAAGTGCAACTTATGCTATCCTTCAAGAAAGGTGGCACTGTTTTCTTTATTTCTGTGAGCAACTAGATCTTTTTTAGTGCTTTGTTACATAACTTAAAAAAAATTGAAGAACAAATTTAGAAAAAGCTGTGCCACCTGCCACTTGACAGAAAGTATACTTCTTTTTTCAGCAGCAAGATGTTTACTGCTTGTTTTATGTCCTTTTGTTTGGCAGGAATAATCTTTCTGTGCGTGGGCTGAAGTGGTGGTTTAGATGGTTTTGCATTAATTTGCTGCTTTTTATCGTGCTGTTTTTTCTCACTACTCCTTCCATAATCATCTCAACCATGGACAAGTTCAATGTCACRAAACCTATTCGTTACCTTAATGTGAGTATCACCGTATGTTTTTATTGTATATGTATAGGTACCAAAGTATKGATGACCTGATGAGTATAGAGAACAAAAATGAAACCGTGATCATAAACTACATTCAGTTGCTCAGATTTTGCACAGAGAAGGGAGGAGCTCATTGTAAGCACTGAAGTGAAATGCTGTGGTTTTGTTTCGCTTATTGCATTCAACACCAGCATGGCAGGATCCAGTTCAACTGAAAACTGTTCATCCTAGATTTTTTTTTGCTTCCTAAGCTGGTGGAAACTACATTAAAAACATGCTTGGAGACCTCACTCTCATGGAATTTAATTTCCAGTCCTACGTCTGTCTTTCGTCTGAAACACCAGACAATCCCCTTCTTAAATCTGCACCTGAATATAATTTTCRCTGACCAATCTGCTGTGATTTACAAAGAGGAAATTCTTAGGGCCCCTCTTCTTCTGCCACAGYCACATTAAATATTTCTAACGCTTTTTTTGTTTTGTTTTGTTCTGTTCCCCGCCAGAATCCCATCGTCAGTCAGTTTTTCCCAACACTCTTGCTCTGGTCCTTTTCGGCTTTGCTTCCAACAATTGTGTATTACTCAACTCTGCTGGAGTCCCACTGGACAAAGTAAGCAAGAATTTCCTCTGTCCTGGTCTTGCCTCCTCAGCTGAACTGCTCTAATAAATGGAGCCAGTGCTTAGTTATCATGGAGCTCTTAAGTTCACAGACCCTTCATACTAGACTTGTTTTCCTCCCATTTTAGTGTTATAACCAATATATTGGAGTTTAAGTCACTTAAAATCAGTACAGCAAGTGTAATCTACCATGTGATTTGCTTATGTTCCCACCCTAGTTTGTGTTTACACACTTGTGGGTCTGATTAGATTTTAAGCAGGCTCTGCAGCGAGAGCCAGCGGACGGCCCCATGCCTGGGGAGGACTGTCCCTCAGGGCCTCTCAGCACCCCCAGGGTCCCGCTTCAACCCCAGTGCAGCAGCTSTGGTGTGTGACGCACAGACAGGGCCTCTGTCCTCTCGCTGCTTTGTGTGGAGAAGTGCTCTGTGTGCAAGTGCTGTGCCCAGGCCAGTGCTGCTGTGCTGCGGCCGGAGAAGAGCTGTGCAAGCAGGGCCCGGCAGCGCCGCGGCCGGAGCRGCGTGGCGCGCGGAGCCCTGCGCCTGCCCGGGAGCTCTCCGCAGAGCCCGGTTCAACACTCTGCATTTAATCCTAAGCTTCTTGCCTATAGCCAGATAAACATGTAACACTGATCACTTCACTCAGCTTTTCCATAATGCCTGCAGCTGTTGCCCCGTTATTGTTTTAATCTAAGGGCAGATCTTTTTTGTTTTGTGCCATTCCTGTGTAAGCCTTTGTGTCCAAAGCTCTATGATTTTGKTTTTTTTCAGTGACTTTTCTCAACTACATTAGATACATGAGCTTTGAGTCCTTTTGTATTGGTTGAAACAATTCGCTGGAGTCTCTAGCTACTGCAGCTCTCATTTCATACACTGTTCCTAGTCCTCGTGTAGTTCTGCTAACTGGCAAGCGCCCAAGGGCTGCGTCATCCTGTAATAAAAACCCCGTGGTTTTCATGCCCTGTGAGGCACCTCCTTTAACAGAGTCCGTTTAGTTTATGGCAGTCGCTGCCCTCCTGTAGCAGCAAGGCCACGGTGCCCAGCTGTTCCTGCACTGTAGCAGGGGCCCGAGCGCTCGCAGCATTACGCCCTGCCAGGGACGTGGTGCCTGTGCTGGGAGCCGCGTAGTTTGTGCGAGGAGCGAGTTTTGTGGCCCCAGTGCCCTCACAAGAACTGCCCTTGCCCTCTTGGCCTCATGTTTTTAGAGYTATTTGTAAACAAAATAATTGAGAGAGGTGAGAATCACTGGATGAGAGACCTGCTCCGATTTGTTCCCGCATCTCTTTGCCAGAGGTGCAGCAAAGGAGTATTGCTAATAACAGAGTCGGTATTAAAGTTCAGAAATGCTTTCTATGTCCAAGAAGAGGCTGAGGGTCTGCTTGGTTAAAAATAATAAGCGCYTTGGAGGTGTTTGTTTTGTGGGTATCACACAGCAACGTGATGTTTTAGGGGAATGTCACGGGTGCTGGCATTCTGTTGACAGCATTTTCCAGGTATGGAAATCTTCCTAGGCATTTCTCACACGGCCACTTTTTATGTTGCTAGATCTGGAGAAAACAGAATTATGATGCATAAAGTCTACATTTTTTTGATCTTCATGGTGTTGATTCTGCCCTCCCTTGGTCTGACCAGGTAAAGAATCATAGTTCAATATATTGTTCAAAACAATAGTTCATAGTTCAAAACATTTGAATGTTTTCATAATTTGAGATATTTTCCTTAGTTTCTAGTTGCTAGTTGATGTATAGTTGAACCCCCTGCAGCATGTATGGTTATTGTCATTACATGTTAGATTTCAAAGTTATGGTGTCTCTGAGGACCTTACAGCCTTTAAAGAGTGAAGTGCAGTGTTTCTTGAAGCAAAGGAATCTAAGACAACTGTGAGATTAATGGCAAAATGGTTGAAAGTTCCCCACACTTTGTGCCATGGCTGAGAATGCGGCTTTCTGAGTGCCCTCTGCTTTAGTTCTAGCTCCTTCTCCTTCTCTGGCACCTTAGCACCTGTGCAGCAGCTGCAGTGCTGTTGCACTGGCTAATGGGTCTCCTCTCTATATGCTGTCTATTATGTTAAAATAATAGTTATATAATAAATATATATTACAATATATATTATATATATTTATTTTTATATATAATTATTATATATATTAAAAATATAAAWAWATATATATAATATTATATATATATTACAATTTTAATATCAAGCAGATGTTTCTGTTTTGTTTCCATATCACTTTCATAATTCAGACTATCAGCAACCATGGTGGGGCTAAAGTTGCAGATTATTTGATTAAACTCTTTATATCCTTCATTCTAATCTGAACTACTGTAAGAGAAACTACTTTATTTGTACACAGTACTAAGCTGTTGGGGACTGAATTACATTTAYTGTCATTCTTTCAGCCTTGATTTCTTTTTCCGTTGGCTGTTTGACAGAGAATCATCTGAATCTAAAGTCAGGCTGGAGTAAGTATGAGCAGCTCTTTGTTACAGGATTGTTCAAGGTGTTTTTTTGCTGTTGACTAACAATGTTTATGAAAATCTGCTTGGAGATGATACCCTGTGGGATGATACGAAGTTTCTGAGTAAGGGGAGAAGAATGCAGTACTTTTGCTCTGAATTTTCCTAATTTTTTCCACCAAATACTGTGTACAAGCATTCAGTAAAGACATGGTTCTGTTCCCAGAACCTTGCAAGTCCTGTAGAAGACCGTGTTCAGGTCCAGTGAGAGGAAACTACACAGTGTATGTAGGGTTGTTGCCTGTCATTGGCAGGAGATTCTCCCAGGGATTACAGTGAGGTCAAGCAGTGTTTCAAAAACAGGCTGCCTTGTTTTCAAGAAATGTGGATGTTTTTACCCCAAGATAGCAGACTTGCAGATACTGATTGTTACAAGCTCTTGATTAGGAGCTGGACATGGAGGCTAGTTAGGTGGCAGAAGGAATTAGGGTGTAATTATTAGAACATAATTAAGTCTATAGATAGTATTTGAAAGTCAGTAGCAAGAAGATATTTAGGAGTTACTGAGTTAGGAGAGACCATCGTCCTGCTGCAGCCTTGTTTCATCTGGTCTCAAGTTGTTGTTGCAGACATCAAGTGATGTTCTCATTTGCTATCAGGCATCCATCAAATCTGGCTCTTTTCCTTGCTGAGCAGTTTATTCCTTCTGGAAGCTCAGTGCCTCAGCCAGCCTTCTTAGATGGCAATGGCATCACAAAAATATGCCCTTAAGGTATAGCATACTTATAGCACTGCTTTTTAATTTAAGATTATCAGAAGTCCAGAAGGGCTTTGTTGTCTGAATGCCCTCTCTGCCTGCTAGCCAGCTTTCCAGTTACTCCCTGATGTCTTTCCTTGCAGATGTGTCTTTTTGCCTGACCAGGGAGCCTTCTTTGTGAACTACGTCATTGCCTCTGCTTTCATTGGCAACGGGATGGAGCTGCTGCGCCTGCCTGGCCTCATCCTTTACACCATACGCATGATCATGGCCAAGTCCACAGCAGAGAGGAAAAACATCAAACAGGTAGTAGAGCCCCTCCTTAGCAGGGAGCAGTAAAGGGGCTGGTGTTGATCAGAAACAGGGGGAGCCCCCATTTCTGCATAGCCAACTTCTCCTGTCATTTTTTTGGTCTTTATTTTGCTCTGCCATAAAAGCCTTTTATGCCCTTCCTTTGCAGCATAGGAAGCTGTGAGGTGTTTATTCACATCAGAGATGGTTACAAATAAAAATCTGAGCTCTGAATTTCAGACATTATTCTCTTCATAGCTCCAAATGAGAGTTTTATGGTGACTTCTTAATTTATAATACACTTCTAAATTTTTTTTTTTTTTTGTTGGGATTTGTACCTAGTTGGACCTCTTTTGTTGGTCCACAGATGTGTACAGACTTGCAGGCGTGTGAGTGCATACCTCAATCTGAACATACACAGAGCACAATGTGTCCATCTGTGTCCCACTTTTAGAGCTGGGCTTTCACATCCAGGTGCCTTTTTGCAGCCGGATATTCAAGGCACTAGAATTTAAGTTAAACCTGTATACAGCTGTCCTCATTCTTTTCTTTAATAGACCTAAATGGTGGGTTTGATTTTTAATGTTTTGAACAGTTACTTCTGCTAACTGTTGCATATTRCCCTTTCTGTGGTTGAAATGAAAGAATACAAAAGCATTTTGTATTGTTTTCACATCCCAAAAGGTTCAGCTAAGAATTAAAAAAACGAGAATACTGATCGCACCAAAGCTTTGATATCTTGAGCCACTGTGAAAGACAGCACAGGGAACAGGACCAACGTGGTGGCATTTGTAGCGAGCTCAAGGTTCTAAGAGTTGGGCATTATTTTTTTTTTATTCCTTATGGTTTTAAGTTGCTTCTTGTAGATGAAAGCAGATTCCTTGAGGAAATCCTTTGAGATTATGAAAGAAGTCGCAAGTGTGACTGTTCAAAACACGTGATACTTACCTCTGCCTTACAGTACTTACAGTGCCAATTACATTGTTTATACCTCTCAGGAAGACAACTGATCTCTCACAGGGAGAAAAGAAGAGAGGGCGAACTGTTGCTTTGCCGAATCTATCTTAGTTGCTGATGTGCTGATCAATGAAATGAGAGTTGGGGCATCTTGTTTTTGTTCACAGCAACAAGCGTTTGAATATGAATTTGGAGCAATGTACGCCTGGATGCTATGTGTGTTCACGGTGATCATGGCCTACAGCATCACCTGCCCCATCATCGTGCCTTTCGGTAGGGCGTGCGGGAGCGCGCGCAGCGGGAGGGAGCTGCCGCGCCGCGCGTGGGGCGCGGCAGGGGCCCSCTCTGGCTCCTCGTCCGGTTTGGATGGCTCCCATCCAAGAGTCRTTTTCTTCCCTTCTCATGAAAAGCAGAACAGAATAACTTGGTGGTGAATAACCACTAGTCCTTGTACTGCAGTTGAACGTGATATATGTAATGCCTATTTCTAAAGATTGAGTGTATTGGTGTGTCTATTGTGGGTAGGTTTGGGGGAGAGGAGTTGCCAAACTCCACTTGGGATGTTTTGGTCCCTAAATTCTTTAGGCACGTCTGGAAAAGATTTGCCAAAGATTTTGACTGAAATGTATGAAATGAAGCACAAAACCAAGTATGTTTGAGAGTGGACAACTACCTGATTCCCCTTGATGCTGCCACAGCTCCATTGTGTTACTAACCATTAATCTAAACTCCCGAACGGGATGAGRGAAGGGGCTTTGTCCATCCCCACGCTATGGACAGCTGCACATTCTGTGCTCCTGTCCCCAGGGACACGGCCTAATGATGTCCTGAGTGCCCGTTGCACTCAGTGCAGGTCTCCATTCCTGCCCTCTGCGAGCAGGAGAAACGCTCCTGCTCTCCCTACCCAGTAGCCCAGGAAATGGGTGGACTGGGAGTCCAGCTCCTGTAGACACTTCCCCTCTGGAAACCTGTTTATCAGACAACTTGTTCTAAGTCATACGATCTATTTGATGTATTTCTTTTCTAATTGCAAATGTAGAGAGCTAGAAAAAACGTAATTACCTAAATTAGATATTGGGCAGAATTCTTTTTTAATCAACAACCTTATTACAGGGAAAATGTGGCCAGCTTTTTATAACATTCTTCACATCTGTTTATATTTCGTTTTCTTCCTGAAAACAGAAAGTCATGAATAATTATGAGTCATGCATGATATTCCTTTTTTATAAGTATATTGAATGCTATAAACAACGTAACAGTTCTGCAAAAAGAAAAAAATGTTGAAATGTAYTGCTGTTGGGCCAAATCCAGCAGTGAAATGGTGCAAAATATTGTTGTTGAGATGGCAAAGCATGTGCGTTACTCAGAAAAACTCACCTGTTTCCTTTGCTGACACTCATGGAGATGAACTTGCTATTCCTCTTAAGACATACAATCTATAACAGGTATTAGTATGCTGAGAGAATCACAGAGGCCTAGAAACCCCTGCAGAATCCACTAGCAAAACGCTCTTAGGAAGGCAGATTGACAAATATGCCATTAGTGCAAGGAAAGCACGTCCATAGGAAACGTATCCACATAACAGGCTGTGAAATAAACCTCACCTTGGGTCGGTAACACTGGGAGGAYGCAGCCTCTTTGCACAGAAGCAGAATAAAAGCTTTCTGCTGCGTGACTGCAGATACCTGAATGTACTGCTGCCTACCAGAGCTCTCCAGCGTGGGCAAGTCCTCTGTCCCGCCCTGGCCCTGCATCCCACACTCGCAGAGCTGCGTGCATCCCGGGAGCGCCAGTGGTGCCAGGAGATGCCTGAGGAGAGGGGGATACACTGGGGCTTGGGGACCCAGCCTTGCCACATGGGCGCCTCGGGGCAGGGCTCTGTACCCCACTTGGGTCTGGGCTGCCCTYGGTTAGTGTGGGTCTCCTTGCAGAACTGTTGCTCTTCACTGTCCTGGGCTCTCCCTTGCTTGCTTCCAGGCTTGATATATATCCTCCTGAAGCACATGGTTGACCGGCACAATCTCTACTATGCCTACCTCCCTGCCAAGCTGGAGAAGAAGATCCACTTTGCAGCTGTGAATCAGGCCCTGGCAGCTCCAATCCTTTGCCTGTTCTGGCTCTACTTTTTCTCATTTTTGCGGCTAGGTAAGTATTATTTTTTCCCTGAGAAGCTACTCTTACCTCTCCTGTCAGCTTACGTAGAATTACACAGAAAGTCTCATAGATTTTGAAGTCTTTACGGCTTGTCTTTTTGCATCTGCAGATGGGAAATAATGTTGTTTATGCCTGACACACATTAACTTCAAACCCTTTATGTGGAGCTTCATATTCCTTCACTTTATAGGAGATCTTGCATTAGTTTAGCTACTGAGTGACAGACAGTAAAAGTCCATACAGGAAAATAAAAATTGATTCTGATCTAGCTGCTTCTAGTAAAGTGGGCTCTGGTTTCATTGCATGCATTTGTATTCTCTCTGCACAAGTTTAATTTGCCTCTGTGAGCTGGCTGCTGCTTCTATTGCACAGCTGTCAGTTAGAAAAGAATGAAAAGCTAATGTTAGCTAATAATAGCCAGACGCGTGTTCCACGTCATCTGCTAAGCATTGCACACAAGGGGCTGCAGAGGGATGGTGCCTCTCCTCCCCAGATTCTAATTTAAACCCCCATGTTTTGCATTTAATTCAGTCTGCAAGTTGTTCTGACACCCATAGCACCTGCAGTGGTGTAGAAATGGCCTCAGGGAAGGGTGGCAGTGGCCGTGGCTGCTTCACCTGTGCCGTAGGGGAAGGTGTTTGGCCTTTGCTTGCGGCTTACGTCTTCCCGTGTTCCGAGGGCTGTCTGTGCCACCAGGAGGATAAGGAGTCCATGTCCTCTGCAAGTAAGAACAGAGTTTCTAGAACACATTTTAGAAAATTAAACTCCCGTTGCAGCAGTTGATGTGCCCCTTTAATTCAGTATAAAGGAAATGTTAGTGTAATGAAAATTAAATCTTTATAATAATGTTTTCTTGTTCTGTATCTACAGCAAGACCATCATTCATCACAGAACTTAGTAATGGAAAAGATTGGATGGTGGTGTTTGGCTCGGAGCCAGCATGCAGTTAGTTTTTACAGGATGTTCTTCAGTGCTTTGTCAGTGCAAAAGGCAGCCTAGTCAAGAGGTGTGAGGCTGAGTGGTTAGAGCTTAAGGTGCTGGTTTCATTGCTGGTCCTTGACCAAAGGAGGAGGAGGAGGGCTCTGCTTCCTTATTTGCAAAATAAATCCATTGATGATGTGTAAGGCCAGGCTGTTTAATGATCATTTTTTACAGTTTGCCTTGGACAGTTTATCATACTTCAGTCTAGCCCTACAGTGATAACACCCTGTTTTCTCACTGCAGAAATGTAAGACTGGAGGGACCTTGAGATCATTTAGTCTATCCCAGCTAAGCCGAGCTCAAATAGCACTTCAGTGTCTGCAGAAGGGCGTTATCTCGGCTGGTAGGCTGCACTGGGGCCATCTACAGTCTCTGTTCTCTTCCTCMGTTCCCACGGCGTCTGTTCCTCAGATGCTTTGCCTCTCCTCAGGGGAGGTGATGCCACCACGTGCTGAGGAGGCAAGGCAAGGGAGACTGATTCTGGGGAGACGTCTTTGCTTTTCACCGTTCCTTTCCCCTGGTTATCCTTCACACTAGCCGCTGGTGTCATCATGTCTAAAAACTGGGAAATGCTGCTCTAGCCTATTCTTGTCAAAACAGCTTCTGCTAAAGGAGGTTCCAGGATGTGCACGGGACATTTGTTTCATTTCTCTTTTTGCTTTGAACAGTGACTTGTTTTTTTCTTTTCTGCTTGTGTGTGGTTCTCCCCCGCACTGATCCACACAGGGTTCATGTAACCATGCTGAGGAGTGAACCTTGGCTGTCTTAGGTCACTGCATCTGCTGGGGTTACCACAGGAAAATTTGAGGGCTACTGTTGGTTCTTTTAGTCCAAAAAAGAAAGTTTGGAAAAAGCTTGGATATTTTTTCCCCCCTAATATTTTAATCGAGTCATCATCTGTGCTGTAAAATGAGATTAATTTATTCATTTTGTTTCCCCAGTGGACGTGGAAAACCACTGTCATTGTTACAACCTTTTCTTCATATCAGAGGCTGCTTCCATGACCTTTCCCAGGATGAGCACTCTGTCTCTCTCTCTTTCTCTCTAAACAAGAAGAGCCTAACTCTGCTCAAATTGAAGGCTTCAGTGACACTAAGAAGAGCTGCTCTTTTCTGTAGGCTCCAGAGGCTTGAGTTTTCCTTGGGTTTTCCTCCACTGCTTTGTGATAGCAACACACTGGCTCAGTTTTCCAGCTTGTCATAGAATCATAGAATGCTTAAGGGATTAAGCATTGGTTGGAAGGGATCTCAGAGGTCATCTAGTGCAACCCCCCTGCTCACGCAGGGTCACCTAGAGCACAGGGCACAGGGCTGCGTCCAAGCTTGGACGCAGTATCATCACCAGTTGCGTTCTGTGGAACCACAGTCTTGTCTCTTGTCAGTTGTCTGGCTATACCTGCATTTAATTTTTSCTTCCAAAGATCAGTTAGTTATGGTTGTCCAGATACAGTGTCATCTCACTGACTTTTATCGCAGGGAGCCATCTTAATTTATCAAGGTCATTTTGAGTGGTGCTTTTCCTTTGTTGTTCRCAACTTTCCAGTTTGTGGCCTTTGSCATGTTTAATAAATGGACCCTGCCCATTCCATCCCCCAGTCCATTAATGAAAGTGTTTGAGAAGTGAGTCCAGAGTAAATGACTGAGGGAGGAGGAGAAGGGTGTCTGAATGTTGTTTGTTACCCAAATTTTGCAGTCTTTTCCGGCCTCCAAGCAGGCTGTGAAATCGGCTTGTTCAGCTGTTTTGTCTGTCATAACCAGGCCCTCCTGATCAGGGCTGGCCAGTCCTCTAAGGAAAAACATAAGGCTTCTGCAAACCGGAAAGACCAAKTAAAGATTTGCTCGTTTTCCCTGCTTTGTGCTTTCATCTTGTGTTCTCTGGATATTTTTCCAGGATTCAGAGCACCCACAACCATGTTTACCTGCCTGGTTGTCAGCATCACCATTTTCATTTGCTTGGCTTATACCTGTTTTGGCTGCTTCAAGTACCTGAGCCCCCTGAACTACAAGGTAGGTGGTGCACCCCTGCACCTCGCAGCGCGTGGACACGTGTGTGGCACCAGCTCTTCCTGCCCGCTGGTTTTTGCCCTGCCAGGGCAAGCTCCCCCCGGGTTCTTTCTAGCAAGGCTGAAGAGGGCTGGTTGGTAGAGGCAGCTCGCTCAGCGCMCTGGCAGCGTGTCTGTGCCGGCAGGGACTAGACAGGTACAAAGCAGTGTGGAAGAGGAGGATGGGGAGGCGAGTTGGTTGTGACCATACAGTAAAGCCAGCACGAATCTCACTGTGAATTTCCAGGKGTGTTCAGTCTGCATTGCTTTGATTTAGTGCTGATACTGTTTCTCTCCCGTTCCTCCGCCTGTTCCTGGCTGCAGATAGAAGACTCGCAAGGAGAAAGAGGAAACGACTCAGATGTACGAGCCCTCCCAGCATCTTCTGTAAGAAGTTAACACAGTAATACTGGCTTGCCAGAAAACCTCATTTCTCACCCTGCTCACCAAAGACCTTGGGTGGAAAACACCAGTGTTGATGGGGCGGGCCGTGGGGCGTCGCATAGGTTGGAGGGGCCCAGGAGCCCTGCAGCTGCACAGGCAGGGCCGCAGCAGCAGCGGGACGGGCAGCTTCGCGCGGGCTGAGACGTGGCGCTCCTGCGGCGCGGCCTGCGCCGGGCTGTGGTGCCCAGTTCTTGCACCGGGCAGGCAGGACCCGGCTTCGGCTTTGCACAGTGTCCAGGTGCATCAGCTCTGAGCGCTGCGGCGTGTGCAGCAGGTGTGGGGCACGTGCCATGTGCTGCAGGAGAGGCTGGCACTAGGAAGCCTCCTGTACGGTGCAAAAGCCTTGGGGGGTGAAGGTGAAGAACAGGYTTTCCCCTTGCCACTCCTCTTTCCATCCATTTCCTACCTGGGTAAATTATCCCCATGGGASACTTTGAGTAAAATCCTTAACACTTGTCATTTCAGAAGTTTGTCCCCCGAGTCTTGCACCCACAGTCTACGGAAAGGACGGCACTGACCCACAGAGAGCAGCACTCATATGGCACCATGGAGGACACTCTGTCACAGGCAGAAGAAGACAGAAGTTACTGTGCAGGACCTGCAAGTACTGAGCAGTCATCAAAGGGTTCCCTCTGAATACCAAGGGCTAGCACGAGGTGGAGCACTTGGTCCAGCTTTACAAGAACTCATTTCCCCACCACCACCCCCTGAGCATTCGGATTTATTTACACATTCCTGCCTACAGAAGAGATACCGGAGAAATTCAGTGTGGTCTGCAGCGGTGCCGGGAGATGGCAAAGCAGCCGCCGCGGAATTGGCTGTTCCGCRGGACGTGTCCGTGCGCTGCGAGACAAGCGCCGCGGTCCTCGGGAGCTGCCCTGCTCCTGTGCCTTTGTTTTGCCTTAGCAAGATGCTGCCGTGGCGTACGGGTAGCGGGGCGCCGAGGCAGACGCAGCTCCCGGACACAGCTGCCATTTATTTATTCAAGTAACACTCGTGGAATTTTTAGCAAACACTGAGTATTTATAAACTGCTTGGGATGTATTAAATCCTGAGCCAGGGTCACTTTTGCTGGAATTGCTGTGCCCCCCCGGTGGGAGATGGAGGGGCTGTTGGGGGTGTCCCCTTGGTGGTCACACAAAGTAGTCGGTGCCAACTTGAGCACATTTCCTAAAAAAAAAAACATGAGGGAGTTACTATGCACTTGGATCCTAAAAGTACTAAGCCAAAAGGACTGGTGTAAAGAAGGGAGTGATAGATCTGCTACTGTTTTTATGTATTCTTGGAGGCCATTCAGGTTCTTGGTTTCAGTTCACTATTTTTAAGGGCTTTTTGCAAGGAATGTTCATTTGCCAGCAATAAAGGATGTAAACATTTTAACTTTCTTTTTAATCTTGGGTCAAAATGACAGATCTCTGGGTTTTTTTCAGTAAGTGCCAATTACATGAGCTATAAGATACTAAGTTTTWAAATTATGTAGTAGCTGCTAATTTATTCCAAAGTACAGTGTGTCAAAACAGCAACTAATAATCACACAACAATAAAACACTTGAGTTTGGAGAAATGTAAGGCCATCTTGGTTAATTCCTTGCTGTGTATTTAAGCACCGCCTCTGCTCGGGCCGTGCAGCAGCCAGCGGTTTCATGAGCAGCTCCCAAGAGCACCGTCACAGAGGCTCCCATAACACTTGAACACTCCTAAATTTGACAAGGTGAATCTGGCTGATTCTGGGGGAGCAGAGGGGTTTCCCCTTGCTCGCCATGAAGGAGGGAGCTCTGTCGCCAGCTTCTTTGTGGAGCAGCATGTTAAGACTGAGGCTACCGGTGCGGCTGCTCGGCCTGTGCAGATGTGCAGTGTCTTGTGTGTGGCCACAGCTATCTAACATGGAGGGAGGAGACCCGMCGGCCCCTGCACAGCTCTGATACGTGTGACGGCGGGACCCTCCCTGTAGCTGGAGGGAGGGGAGACTCCTGGCTCTCCAGAGATAAGTGYGGCGTCGCGGCCGCTCTAGCAGGGCGCGGGTGGTTGTCACAGCTCCTCGCGCGCCTCCTCGTGCAGCCTCTTCCGTGGCGGCGCAGCAGGTCTCAGTGCCGTGACTGTGGCATCCTGAGGGGCGGCGTGTGCCGCCATGAATCCAGACCACCACGTCGGCGGGGACTCGAGGCAGGAGGAACCGCCGTGGGCTCTGTTTGCTGCTCTCGGACTTTGCAGGGCTGTGACATGAGGAGGAAGAGGCAGAGCCTCCTTCCGTATTGACTAGATCAGAAATATGGGGCTGCTGTAACTCGCTGTGTGCCGCAGGACCCCATCTTGTGCCCCATCTTGTGCCGGCATCTGCGGGAGCAGTGCCCACCTCCTGCTGTGCTCACTGGGGACGCAAACCAACAGGTCAGGGTGACCTGCTTACAGGGCTGGCATCGAGGAGTTTTAAGCTCTGTGGCGTAAGTTACTTTTTTGAGCAAGTGGCTGCTGTGAGGTTCACATGTCGTGTMAAGGACAAAGTCTTTTGGTTATTGGATTTCCGTCCTGCGCTTGTCTGCCTGGTGCTTGGGAGGCTGCCGAGCCTTGGTAACAACTCCTGACTGCTGGCGTAAATTCAGGATAGACAGCAGCAGTGAACTTGAATAAACCTACCTCGAGACATGCTCACGTGCCTCAGATAGCAGAATATGGAAAACCCATTAGGTAATGGAAAGTTGTATCTGGCTAGACAGGCATCGCTGGCGTTTGTAGAGGCCGTTAACGTGTCTGATGTGGAAACCACCTGCATGTTTCACCTATTGTGCAGCAGCTGCTCTCGTACCCCACCAGGCTCTGCTGGCAGTGAACTCCCCCATTAGTAGTTACAATACTGGGTCAAGGTCTGGTGTGGTTGCACCTTAGCTGGGTGGGGGCCGGGGTCATCTGATAGTAAATGAGCACGAGAGCTCTGGGTCTAGCAGCACGCAAAGTAAMGGCTGCTCTCGGCCTCCTCCTGTTGTGCCTGCTTTCATAGTACCCTTGGGTCTCCCCGGCTCAGAGCTGGAAGTAATTAAGAAACTGCACTGGCTCTGGTTCATTCTTTCATGCTGGTGGATGTCTCCAAGAGGATAAAATTAGATCAGCAGGAGAAACTCCTTGCATTCCTCACTGTGCCTTAAAGAAAAGCTGAGGGATGGAAGCTTCGACAAATGTGGATGTTGGCTGCGCTGAATTTGAAATTCATATTTAAAGCCATTGCACATTCTTCACGATGCTTTTTATAAATCTTTTGGCAGGCAGCCTAAGCAAATGGCCCAGCTGGAGTGGCTGATCGTAGCTCCTAGAAGCCATATTTGCTGCGAACCAGCGCCTGCTGCTTTCCTTGCAGCGCTCTCTTGGAACAGCACCCACTTTCCCTCCCCCTCAAGTCTGCTTCGTCCCTGCTATCCAGTGGCCACCAGCTCTAGGAGCAGCACTGATCCATGGAACCCATGGAACGCGAGTCCAAGGCAAGTGTGRCGTTCCCACGCGAGGAAGCCCTCGGTGTCTGCTGTGCCAGGGTCCCCATGAGCAGCCAAGGGGACAGTCTCTTCAAGGCTGAAGAGCAGGGCCCGTGGGATACTCGCACAATTTAGTGCAGTTTTCCAAAGGCAGATTTTCTTCCAGGGAGAAGAAGAGGCTGAGACTCCCCTAAGTTGTCTCGTTTAGATACTGCCTCGCTCTGCGCCAGTCTGGGCAGGCACCCAGGAGCAGCAGTGCTGAGTTCACCTTCTGCCCCGATTGCCCGTCCTCAGCACCCAAAGATGGACGTTTCTCACTGGCATCAGATGTGCCTGTTCCTGCCTTGTGCTTTTCCCCCGTCCCGAGCCCAAAGCAGAGCTCTGCCCCAGCTGTGTTTGCACATGATTCAGCGCTAGCCCAGCTCTGCGCAGAAATCCGGTTCCCAGCTCTGCTTGCCCCTAGATACTAGCRGCACAACTGGAAGCTTTCTCACATATAACCTACAAATGGCTCTTGTATCCGAGTTTGAAATGTTTCTCTTCTATGCTTCTTAGGGAGAGGGAGTTGTCCTAGGAGCAGCAGAGGATCCCGGGGGCTTCTTCTCCAGGCTCTTCACAAAAACAAGGTGAAAAGCACAAGAACATTTTGGGAGGAGGGATCTCTTTCTGMCACCAGAATGAACATGACGAGTCCTTTCAGCACAGAGAAAACATGWTGTTTATTGTCTCCAAACTGCACTGAGGTAAGGAAATGCATACTGTTAATTCCGTATGGCAGCAAGGCCCRTAGCTTTCTGAGAGGACATATGTCCATATTTCTCAAATGGCCTCAGAGATTCCTTCTCTAATCTGGACAGGACTTTTGGAGTGTTTCTGCTTGTCACCTGTCTGTAACAGCTGCAAGTGCCTGTTTCAGATATTTCAGAATTGAAGAACTTTGTTTTTTTCTGCTGTGAGGACAGCTGTCTGCCAGATCAAACCAGGGGGGAATGACTGAAACCAGAGGCACTGAAAATTATCTGCTGGGTTGTTATAATAGACATTCTCCCCTCTAATTTTCCAGCTCTTGTGTTATCTCCTGTCTCTTGCTTTATATCTGACATCCAGTTGGTCACAGCATTGAGCTGCTAGTGCATCTTCCAAACGTTTGTGCTCACAAACAGAGTTCCTGAACTATCTTGATCTGTCCTGTGTCAGTTACAGACTGTGAACATTTATTGTTTGGAGAAGATATGAATCAACATCACCTCTCTTTCTATTGCATATATGTTAGCTAGCTTTTTTTTTTTTTTTTTTTTTATAAAAAAGGGTCCAGATGAAGTAGATGGGCTGGTGTATGAAAGGGGTGCTCTCTATTTAGTGTCTCCATTACTAATGTCTTCCCGCAGGAGCCTGCAATCCCAGTTGGTCACAGCATTGAGCTGCTAGTGCATCTTCCAAACGTTTGTGCTCACAAACAGAGTTCCTGAACTATCTTGATCTGTCCTGTGTCAGTNTCACCTCTCTTTCTATTGCATATATGTTAGCTAGCTTTTTTTTTTTTTTCTGAAACAGAAGAATGGGTCCTGATGAAGTAGCTGGTCTGGTGTATGAAATGGCTTCTCCCTATTTAGTGTCTCCATTACTAATGTCTTCCCGCAGGAGCCTGCAATCCCTGGTACAGTGACTAGATTCCCTGGCTGACAGCAAGTGCCGCCGCTTTCCCGGGGGAAAACTTGCCCTCCCTGCAGCAGTTTATTTCCGGCCTTCCTAAGGAGGTTCTGCCATAGCACCTTGCAGGGTAAATTCCCATCTCAAGACCAACTTTTATGGCTAGTGAAAAATAATGTTCTGTAGTATTAGGTAAGGACTTTGCTGACTTAATGAACTAAATATATTTCTGKCTTCCATTTTGGATAGAGTTCTGTCTCCATTAAAATTCTGTCTTGGAAATGTCCAGAACTGTGGGTAGTTTGATAGCTTTTGATGGAGTGTTTTGATGGTGTGATTAAACTAAGATCTTTTTGTGTATTAAAAAGACCTCTTTTTGCTACTCTGAGTTTGTACAGAAAAGGTTCTCCCTGTCATTCTCCAGTGCCGAAGCACAGTGCCAGCAGTGTTGTCTGCCAGAGGACTATATTCATTTTGAGGTCATTTGACTGACCTGCTGCAAGATAGATATTCAGAAGATTCAGTACAAGGTCTTTGTTTGTGAAAGTGTCTAAAACAACCCACATTCTCAGATTCTAGGTTGTCATCTGTCTAAGGTTGGGATGTCAGCATCTACTGATGTCCACTTTGTGGTCCTCAGCAGTCCAAAGCTTTATCCATCTTAACCTATCACACCCTAAGCAGATGATTTTAGGGCCTTTAAAATAGTACTTTTTCTTGATTGTAAACTCGAGATTGTGTTTGGGTCTTGAACTAAAATAGCTTTTGGCATCAAGATCTGACCCTTGACTTGTCTGTCCTGGACCTGAGCATGATATTGCAGTGGGAGCGGGTGGGCCTGGAGGTAGCCCAGGATGGGGGAGAAGTTTTCACATCCGTTTCTAAATTGAGTAGTTAAATACTGATATACAGTTAATAGCAACCACTATTCTCAAAAATAATCACTGAGATGGAGTACAAGATATCTCAGGTATGATACATCATAGGGTATTCCTGAAAATAGAGTCAGGATTTGTTGCTGGCTCACACTATTAATCGTGTGCAGAGTTGCATCCCGGTGGTTGTGGAGCGTTCATTTACACGTAGCAGCGAGACAAGAGAGAGAGGCGCAGGCTGCTCAGGAAAGTGACGTGATTGGCGTTAAAAGGCAGCTATTTATTCTGCCTCTCAGATCTTTCTGAGACCAAAAAGAATGTATGATAAATGCATTTTTCTAACAGTTCCTATTCCTTCTATGTAAAAATCTTTTCCACGCATTTCGAGTTGTTTTGGAAGATTTGGCTTTCCTATTCGATCAGCTTTATTACAGCCTGATCTCCTGAAATGTAAAGCTCCAACTTGCTTTTCTTCAAGTGAAAGTTCCATGTCAAACCTCACCTTGAATTCTAAAATCATTATTTAAAAATAAAAAAAAGCATAAGGCAAATCAGCAGTTTATTGATTTTGATTGTTTTTTTTTTCTAAATCCATAGACACAAGGACATTAAGGTAGCAGCTGTCTGCACAGAGGAAAGTAGAGATGGAAGTGATTTGAAGAACTTGTGAGCTATGTGCGTAGGACTCTTTATGACAGAGTTTTTGCTTTGGAGAATGGAGTAGGCTTGTCTTGTTCTGCTCTATATTTGATGTCTGTGGTTTTCAAATTACTCTTAAGGCAGAAAAGAATTATTCCAATCTCAAGGGACCAGAAATCAGAATCTGCTTATGTGGCGGGAAGGGGAGGGTAAAAACTGAGAAATAAATCAGTTGTGCACTGATGAGGAGTTAGGAGGAATCACTTCAGCATGAGTTTCTGCTGCTTAGCTTATCACAGGGAGAGAGGCGAGGTGCTGCGTTAGGAGAACCCATCCTGGCTGTTCTGCAGGGCGCCTGTTCCTCCGGGGTGGCTGCRTCTTTGGGCAGGTTACTCAATCCCTCCTTGTCTCTGGTTTCCCTTGAAAGTTGAGACTCTCTTCCAGGCGCTGGAGGAGGCTCCGTGCTAGCCGGGCAAGGCCCTGCAGGCTCCCTCGGCGGAGGAAGCTGTGTTGAGCACAGGGGAGCCGGGTGGCGTGGCTGGGTTTGCGGGCCCCGGTCTGCACACAGCGCCGCTTCGGCACCGCTCAGCCGCACGGCCTTGAACCTCTGCTGCCAGCGGGGGTCCCCTTCCCTTCCCAATGCAGGAAATTCAGTGTTTACATGGGAAAATCTCATGTGTTGTCCCTCCTTTTCCCAACATGGCAGACATTTGGGCTTGGAGAGAGCACGAGCTCTCAAAGATACTTTCTTAATACCTTAGAATCCAGTCCAGAAGGTATTTTAAAGCCTAGAGTTTGGGCTACATCTAGCAGGAGGAAAGACCTGTCACTAAACACGGCTCGGTTCGTAAGTACCAGTCTCCAGAAGACAAGTGACGGTTGTAATGGGGCTAATTCCCTCGGCAGCATTGGCATAACACCATCAGGCTGTCTGGCACCGCAACGGTATTTCTTCCATGTAAGAAAACTAATCCCAAGCAAGATGGGTTTAGTGTGAGTTATGCTCTTTAAAGTGCTATTGCAGCAAGTAAAACAAGTGGCATCGTTTCTCAGTGTTTTAAAATAAGCAAGCCTCAAATCAATATGGATTTATTCTCGTCTCTTCCTACATTACCCAGCAGGGCCTTTCCGTTCCAAACTCTTTTAAGGAAAAAAAATGTATCTTCATGTAATGCCGTTTATGTCATGTAAAACAGAACAGACATGTAATCATCCAGCTTGAATGGGTGCATTCCTGACCCAACCAGCCTTGCACACTTGGTGTCCTGAAAAGTGCCTGCTGGGACCCAGCTCCAGCTGGGATGCTGGTCTCAGGGGCTCTGCTTCCACCAAAGGAGGACTTCATTTGTGGGGTGGGGCTTTTTTGGTGTTGTTTTGTTTGTTTTTCGTTTTGTTTTTTTTTTTTCTCACGCGAAAAGTGTTTTTCACTGGTGTGCAAAGTGTAATTAAATTGAATAACTGACGTAATGCTGGAGGGGGTAGCTGGGTTGTTGTGGCTTTTGGTGGTGTTGGCTTTTTATCTGKGGAGTTAATTTTGCGGGAGTTGTGTGAGAAGATGATGACTTGCAGAAGTGATTTTCCATCCTTGAGGCAGATGCTCTCCAAAGCACAGCAGCTGGGGGCTGGGAGGTGGTGGTGGTGCCGGGGGGGTTCTATTTATTATCAGCRACATTGCTGTGGTTTTGACCCTTTTACCCTGACTCTTTGTGGGCTGTAACTGCCTAATTAAAAGCATGGTTAAGGTTGGCTACTGCTGTTTTCAGTGCAGCAGAAAAGCCTGTTTGGGAGCAGCTAAAGGRGGAATGGCTTTTAGGACAGCAATTTCCTTGAGCAGCGACATAGGTCAAGAACTGCTCCTTGGGCAATATCAAATACTTGGAGTGCTGAAGCATCATGAGACTCTGGGTTCTCACGAAGGCTGCAGTGACTCCTCCAGGGAAAGCTGCTCTCCACAAGCAGCCTAGGCAGCCCAACAGCAGCAGAGCACTTGGCCTTCATAATAGAAACTTAGGCTCTGTGTAGGCAGGTGTAGATGCAGGTGATGAAAAGCAGCTGCTGCTCGCTGTAGGTTCTGGGTTGGAGACRCATGACATCAGATTTCAGAAGACCCTAGCTGCTCACTTACCGTTTTTAAGCTTCTAAAGCCTCTAACTTTTACATCCAGACGGGGCTAATCAAGTCCATTTTCATGGTGTATTCAGTGTCTCACTGCTGTTTCTTGTGCTCAGCAAAATCTGGCAGTGCAGGCAGCTGGCACACAGGAAGCTGAAGCGCACTCACCTGGGCAGCCGAACGCAGCAGACACGCACGTGCTGTCCTTGTCATCCCCAGCTCCAAGTGCTGAGTGCTCTGAGGTGCGTTTAAACATAGAAAGTTGGCTCTTTCAGCAGCRCCCAGCCTGGAGTGGCTGCTGTAGCACCGGGAGGCTAATGGGAGTCCCTGCAGGCTTCCCCTCACCAAGGCTGAGCCCTTGCAAGGTGATCTGCTCCAGCAAGAGGCTGAAAATGTGTTGAGCCTCCTCTGCCCCCACCAAAAAGCRGTCTGGCAGGTATCACATAGCGAGCCTCCTTCCTCCTGACTTCTCTGTGGTGATGGAGGAGTCTCCAGGGAAGTATTCATTCATATTAACGCATGGCAGTGCTCCCCAGCCCCGCAGCAGATGTCTGCATGTGCATTAAAGATGAGAGGGGTTGACCTCCAGCTCTGAAACAGAAGGGCACGCGGGGGACAGAAGCTCCGCAGACACAAATGACCAGCAATCAAGGACTTGTGCAAGAGAGCAGGGTCGTGCCTGCAACCAGCTGCAGCTCTCAGGGGTGACCCCATTTCCCCTGAACAAACAACTTTCTTCATCCTGACCCTGAAACAAGTTCTCAGGGAGGGAACATTTCTTTTAGACCAAGTGAATAGTTCTGCATTTTCTGTCTGCTCAGAACAGACTGGCCTAAACCACAAAATATTTTGCCAGTGAGAACGCAGAGGTTCTGACTGATGAAAGCAGTTAAAAGTAAACGTGGAGTTAGTGCTTACTGCTAACCTGGAGGCAGGCAGCACTCGGCTGCCTAAAGCTCTCATGTTCAGCTTGGAGGTCTGGGAAACAGTGTGGTCAGTAAGGAGGCCCAAGAGCTGCTTTGCCGGCACGGGAACACAGAAGAGGCAGGGAAAGGTGGAGAGCTCTCATCTCTGCTCCGAAAGTGGGTCAGTGATGGTGGGCGGTCACTCTGCCCCCCTGGTTTTCTGTCGCGGTGCAGCTGGTGGCTCTGAGTGAGGCCCCATGCTTCAGCGTGCCCAGGAGCAGTGTGAGCCTCCCTTCCACAGGGCAACACCCTGCGGGACGCAGCAGGGCTCGGCSCGGGAGTGACGGCTGGTTAACAGCTTCCATTTCAATTAATACTGTAAAGTAATACTAATCCATGCAAGTGTTGGTGATGGTTTATGTTTCCCTGTGCTTGCAGAGGTAAGGAAGCTTATTAGAAGTGATATTAGAAGTGATTGGAGAACAAAACCGTACTAGAAATCAGTCATCTGRATATAGTTTAAGGGTGTTTGAAGCTCAGCGACATACCCTAGGGACTCTTGCTGGCAAAAATGTACAGTCCTTCAAATTCAATTTTCTTTGAGCAGTTTGCCTTCAGTCTGACCTTTGTAACATGCAAAAGAGAATTGAGTAATTTTAAAAAATTGACAGCTATCTGCTGGTGCTAAGTGAAATCTCGGGTGTTCCAAGGTTTAAAAGAAGCACACACAWACAGGTGATATTTGAAATCTTGATGCAAATTATTTTTAATTTCAGGTTAATGCAATTTTCTGTCTTTTATAAGAGGTGTTTACCCTGCCCCACAGAAGCAGTGCAAAGCAGTGGTGCCTCCAGCCTTTCCARGGCTCTGATTCCAGCCGCTAGGAGCATCGCTCCGTGCAGAGGCAGCTTGGGCTGGGCATGCTCTGGTCTGCGGGAGCTGAGCGTGTGGGCTGAGCGCTCCGGCTGCTGCCCCGCCAGSAGCACGGAGAAGCTGCGGAGCACGCGGGCTGGAAGAGCAGGGCAGCCCGGGGCTAGTTGGAGAGGTGCTGGTTGTTACCCAGGGCACTTGCTTGTCTCCTGCTGCTGGGTTGGTCCCCAGCGCTTGCGTGCAGTTGCGCCCGTGCAGCAGCTCAGGCTCCGCGCTGCAGTGAGGCGGCGCCTTTCCTAACAGCCAGACCGAGCGGGAGGCGCCTTAAGGGCTATTTTTCAACTTCAAAGTACTGTAGTATAAAACAGATTTTAGAAGCCAGTGCTTACGGGAGAAAAGTAACCAAATCACTTCATGCTCTATTCTTAGCCTATCTAAAAGAGTTAAAAATCAGCAGTATGAGAAGAAACAACAGTAAGGCCCAAAGGCAGTATCTTATCTAGCTATGCTGCATTCTCCTTGCTGCCCATTCTCACATTGATTAAGATCTGATCACAGAGGTCATGGCAAACTTGCCTGCTCTCCCTAAGGGGAGTTACTTTCTTTTCCAAAGTTGCTGCTTTTCTACTTTTCTGAGAAATTGCAGAATATCTTCAGCAAGAAGCTCTGGTTCCTCCAGCGCTGCGAAGTGGCCCGCTCGGGGCATGTGGTGGACGGAGACGATGTTGAGGTACTTCTTGCAGGCCCAGGCCTGGAGGCAATGCCCGTAGGTACTTTTACAGGCAGCCTGGGAAGGAATAAAAGACTATTTCAACTGCTGAATTCAACAAGCAAGGGGAAGTTCCTTGGAAATTGCGTTCTTCCATGCCAGGGCACACTGCTTAGGTAATTAAAAGCTGACTTCCACATCCAAAATGTGTATACTAGACAACACTGCAGTTGGAGTTATAATTTTTGCACGCATTTARGATATTCTTTGCAAGGGCTGCAAGATATTAGCGCTGTGTGTACAAAAGTTAGAGCTCGAGAAGAGGGTGGGTGTCCCATTTCCTCATGCTGCACCCAAGGCTCAAGAGTTATGAACTGAGAAAAAAGCATCTAATTTGACAAGGGCTGGTAAGAGAGATTCACTGTGAAGATTACCACTAACGCCTGGTAAGCCTGTCAGAACAACGGGAGGGTGGGGTAGGGGAGGGATTATCTTGAGCTGCTACAAGAGGAGGAGGAAGGGGGGGGGGGGAAATGCAGTTAAAAAGTAAATCTAACTAGAGCAAACATTTTGAACTGTGAACCTGTGCCCTGTACAGCAATATCCATGGACTAAAGCTCTTGCTTGCAACTGGCACAAATGCACTCCACGAGCAGGGACAGGGGGGAAAAGCAACAGCATTCCAGGAGAAAGTATCCTATAAAGCAGCCTTTGACATGGTAACAAAAGCTCTAAATATCCCAAACACATAAAYAGCACTATCAGAAATGGCAGATTTTGACTTTATGAGGCATACAGGTTGTTGGGCACATGTACACTAGAGTCTGAAAGGTAGGCACCCAGTTTCACATTGCTCTTTGAGACTGCCCAGCTGTGCAGAAGCCCGCATGTCTCATCTCAACTAGGCAGAAACAGTGCACTATCCTGCCTATAGCACGGCCACCCCAGCTTAAGGAACTGAGTCACCTTCTTGGGAGCCTTGTTTCCCAGCTATGCAAGCACCCATCAGTGAGCTGTGGCTGCAGCTTCCTCAGAGCAGGGTTCAGCCTTCACTCCTACCCCAGCTGACCCAAGTGCACGCAACCAAGCTGCAGCCAGAAGTGTTCCTGCGCAGCACAAAGAGCAGCTTGGCTTTCAGGTGATGCAGTCTGTCAATATCCTAAAGTTCCAAAACACAGAACTTAAATCCTTCACGGAAAATGGCAATCTGTTTCCAGAAGAGGGACATCCCTACATGAACATAAACGTGGAATACAGGCATCAGCCACAGCTAACTTAATATGTGAAATAAACACCTGGACTACTTGCACTTGCRTTATCTTTATTTGGCTAATCCCAGAGTGGGATATCCTTAAGCYGTCTTGTTGGAGCCAGTGCTCCTTGCTGCTGCTTTGTGATTCCTACCACATTTCCAAGCACAGCCTTGCACATCACCCAGGAGCCCTGTCCTGTGAGGGAACCTCATGATGTAGCACTGCAGCATTCAGAAATTTGCAGCTTTGAAGGCCTATCAGCCATTGCAACATTAAGTTCAAGGCAAAATATTTCAAGAAGAAACTACTTACTTTTCGTGGTTCTGTGCGCCTTTTCCCTTCTGCACATTTTCTGTATAGACACGCACAGAGGAAACCATGCAGCCTGACACCCAGTAGATCATTACATTGGTGAGCAGATCAYCCAGCGTGAACTTCCTGAAAAAGGTCAGCCCAGAGAGATTGCTCAGTTAGAACTAAAYACCATTTTATATTTCTTTGGCAAGGACTTGGCTCTCGGGTTTGGTTGTACAAAGCAATTGTTACAGCAGAATTAGTTGAACAGATCCCCCACTGATAAGGAAGACAGTTGACCATAGCGGATATTACTTCTACCTCCTGCCTCTTTCTTCCAAGTGTGTTGGTGGCCAAATGAGCACGCTGAGACACAGACTGGAAAGTGGCATTTAAACTTGCACGGGGAGCATCCCACAGGTGCTTTGTGCTCCAGTGTAGCTGGCTATGCTGTCCCTGCACTGGTGGGCAGGAGAAGAGCACATGGAACAGCTTGTGGCATTTATTATTCATAAGCCCAAATGCTACCATAAGCTTTCCCTTGACACATCACAGGAACTTCACCAACACATTCCACAATGCATTTTTCATATCAAATCATTAGCTGCAYGCAGTGGAAATGTGCTAATCAAATCAATTTTCCTTGGACATTTTCCTAACATGACTGTCTTCTGTCAGATACCTCAGCACTTTTCAAAGAGGACATCAAAATCTCTAATTTCTGCCTCAAACCAAGAGTGACTTCATTAGCAAACATTAGCTAGATGAAGTAAGACTGATTAATTTAAATCAAGTAAACAGAGAATTAAGTATCAGTACTAAAATGAATCATGAGCTCTATTTCCCAGCTCTTTAATACAGAGCACATTTTCATTATTCTGTCCAAATGAGGTTCTTCCACCTAAATCAGCTTTTCTAATCCCCAGAAGTAACAGGACATATCTCTTCCAGGAGACCRACATGAGAATGGAGTAGTCAGCCTTCAGAGCCTAACTGCTCCTCTGTGTTTTGCAGTCCAACAGTGTCTTGTTTTGGTTTGTTTAAAAGGCGCTACAGGCTCCTTTTAAGATGGGGAYAGCCAGAACATTTATTTAGCTACAACTTGGGACTTAATCACATCACTCAAAAGTGCTTACTTCTCCAGTCCTCCATCTTCTAAACTACAGAATTCCGGATCAGTCCAAGTAGAAAATATCTCCAAGATAGCTGGCCAGTCCTACAGGAGAGTCATTCAAACCACAGCCTGAAAGAGAGGAGGAAAATTTAAAAATTGGAATATCCGCTATTKACCTCAGACTGTTTTAGAAGCTGCCCTTTTAATACAGAGCAGGCAACTTGTTATAAAGCTGTTCCAGCAGTTGTGTTAAATGCAGGGGGGAAAAAAAAGTATTAGAACAAGTCAGAGACTTTTATTGTTGAATCATAAACTGATAGTATCTGCAAACCAGGAGCTTCCATATTAGCTCACACAGTATGTTATTTAAAGTGATGTAACAGTATTGGATTTCTGCTGGTCTTTTTTTTTTTCTTTTAGTAAGCTAATAAGATTAGCTTGGCGTGCCAAGTAAGATTTGCTTCCATTAATGTGGAAGCTGTCATGTATTAACAGCATTACAGGACCAAACTCCACATGCCTACATATGTAAGAAGAGACCAGGAAGATTTCCTTCATTATCTCATGGAAAACCTTTTTAAGGATTATTAGAAAGTCATTAAGGACGAGCAAGGCTTTATTAAAAGGTTCATCTTGCACATTAGAAATAGCCAACTGCCTAATGTGGAACAAAGCTTAATATACCTTTTCTCATCTGTTTTGTTCGCCCAGAAGACCCACACCTGCTCTTGGAGCTTTGCTAATAGCCCTGTGCTGTCAAGTACAGGCACCATAAATCATCCCAGCTGCTCAGTTCTGGCTTAGGAAAAGCTCTTCCCAAAGAACAGTGTGTATTTAAGTCCCATCCATGCACCCCCCCAGTCCTCGCTCTGTGGTGCCTTGCAGTACAGCTAGCACAATTTCATTAATAATTACAAGCTAAACGTGGTAATTGCATTCCAGTTATCAAGTAATTAACATTTATAACTGAAATACCAAATGTAACAAAAAGTTAAATTTGGCACTCCCTCCAGATCTGCAGARCTAGACAAGCAATAATCAGTTCTCCTATACTTAACTGTGAAGGAAATGAGGAAGAGTGCATCAGTTTACAGATTGGAAAAACTGACACTGATCCTAGCAGCACTTCTGAGAGCACAGGCAAATTCCCAGACTTCTCAATCAACTGAAAGTGAACCCACACTCCATGCAAGTTTCCCAGGGAATAAGTGTAAAATCAGCTGCACAGAAGCCAATTTGATCGAAAGCCAAGTCTGAAGCAATCGCGAGCACGCTGTCAGCCAAAAGCCAGAGACGACTTCCGCGCTGAGCAGCCTGCTTCCACTGCCTGCCTGCGGCTCCCCTGCCACATCCCCTGGCTTGCAAGGTGGCCCTTTCCCAGCAGAAGCCTGGGGAAGGTGCTGGCAGCCTCCCTGGCCTTGCCTCTGCCACCTACGCTCTGCTCCCTTCTGCAGAGACCTCCCTTCTGCCACGTTCCTCATTCAGCTCCTGAAACTTGAACTCGCTGCTGCTTCACAGTCTGCTCTGACAAACCACAGATGACTGGTGGGGACAAGAATCAGCCAGAAAGCCACAGCAAAAGGAGCAAAGCTGGGTCTAGCCATCTGTCACCCACAGCTTCCCCATCTTCTCTTGAGGCATACAAGGAATTGAGAGACTAGAATCTTCCAGAGACTACAACTCAAAGCAAGACAAATTACTTAAAATCTATTTAGTTATCATCTTCTGAGCTAAGAAAACAGTTTCCTTAGCTGTGTCAAACCCCAGGGAGTGAACTCCTGCTGCACTAAACCAAGATATATTCACTATTCTTGAATCAGTGGCCTAGCAATGAGAGAAAACTAGATTTGATTTACTTTTCAGGTATTACTATCCCTGTAAATGATCTAGCTTGTATGCTGAGACAGCTAAAAGCTTCTTATAGTTTACATTATTTAAATGTGATCCATTCTCTGGGAAGAAATTATTCTCAGCATAGCTGATGTATTTGAAGTGGAATTGTGGTCCCTGGTGAAGAGGAAAAGTATTACATAAACTCTTTTATTTATGAAAACTGAAAATTAGGTCAGCAGCCTTTAGAGAATGCCAGGCACAGGACCCTCCACTCAGTTGAGATGTGCAGATTTCCCGTTTCTGCATGCAAGAGATGAGTTAAATACTACCCACAGATATGTATTCTCCGCTGATTTGCAGTGAAGAGGAGCATACCTTTAAAAATTTTCAAACTTTCCTACTTCAATTGGGGAAAAAACAGATTTTATGTACCTTTTAAGCAATGTGTTTTGTTTCTAGAGAACAAAAGTACAATTAAAATCAACAGAGCAAGTATTCTGAGCTTTAAATGTTTTGTTTGCTTTACCAAAAGTATCAGGCCTTGCAGCCTGTATGTGACCAAAGCAAGACTCCATCAAGAACCTGTAGACTCCTTTCTCCAAGAAGGGATACATCCGCTTAACATCTTCGTCCTGGAATCCAACGAGCCCTGGAAAATAGTGTCCCAGCAGAACGGAGAGCACATGGCTGAAGCCTAATGAAACTTGGACTAAATTTAAGTGAAGGCCTTTCATATTGCTAAAAATAAACACAGAAAAGAAAACACAAAATTCAGGAAGACTCTGACTCTAAAGCTATTATATTTAAAACGTTATTAACCAAATGGATACACTTAAATTCTGATCCTCTCGTTCCATTGCTGCTCGTTGCCTTAGCTGTACTTTGTAGTCTCGCCTTTCATGTGAAAGCAACAAGCCAAAGGGGCAGCCGGCAGTAATCAGCATGTCACTAGGCCACCAATCCTCCCCTCGCTACAAATACTGGTCCCACTCCAGACCTGGTCAGCAGCCATCACACAAGTGCTACGCAGTGATTGTCTTTTTTGGAAGAAGTTCTGTATCACTGCTTAGCACTGAGCACTGGAGACAGAAATTGCACAGTGCTCATGAGGACTTGGACAGGCATCTGAGGTGCATGAGCAATACTTTGCTATTTAGAGAGTAAAACAGCTTTGCACGCCAAGCATCCAGCAGTATGCCAAAGAGGTACTCACTTGGGAGCAATCTGGGCCAGACTGGTGCAGATGAGCCAGCCCCAGTCACCACCTTGTGCATAGAACTCAGTGAATCCCAGTCTGAGCATCAGTTCATAGAAGACAGAAGCTGCACTTACAGAATTAAAGTCTGTTAGAAAAGAAAAAAAAAAAAACATACTGCATTAACTCCTGCTATGCATTTATTCTCCCAGGAAAGGCAACAGCCAAGTTCCTAAGAAGCTACAAGTCTTCCTGGCCAGCGAGGTCCTTGTTAGGCCAAGGTAAGGTCCAGAGAATGAGCAGAAAGCAGGACAAAACACAGGACAAAGTCCAGTGCTCATTACAGGCTGCTCCTCTAGCCCCAGCAGACCTCCACGCACTCGCCCCACTGCGGGGTGGCTGGTCTCCCTGGGACCCAGGGCCGCACTCCAGCTGATGTGCCCAGCACTGCTGACACTGCCCTGGGAACRTGTTCCTGTCCTGCCATGAGTGGTGCTGGTTTAATGACAGCTGGACCCGAAGCATCAACCAGTACCGYGATCCTCCAGCAAAGGCAGCCCGCTTCCAGATGCACACGAGCAGCCCTGCCAGATCAGAACCATGGAAGTGGGGAAGAGCAAAGCCAATCCCTCCTCCCTCCCCACAAACCCCTCACCTACACACGCAGGTAGGAAGCTCAGCGACACCCTAAACGAGCTACTGAGCTCAGATGTTCCACACTGGGGAAGTGAGAGGAACCAGGACGGGCTGTTCTGCTACGAGGGGCTGCTCTGTCACTATGAGACCAAGCGCTGCATAAAGCTCAACCTCTTCCACACAGCCTACCTTTCTTGTGGGGGGCTTCGGAGAAGCCGTAGCCAGGGATAGATGGGCAAATGACTTCAAAAACGTGCTCAGCGCTGAGACCGTGGCTAGCAGGGTCCGTCAGAAGAGGGATAATCTTGTAAAACTCATAAAATGAGCCTGGCCAACCRTGAACCATTAATAATGGCTTTGCAGACTGGCCTACTGGCAGGCGAGGAGGCTTTACATGAACGAAATGGATATCGATACCTGTAAAAAAATAAAATAAATAATTCACATGCCCAATTTTATCACAACACTAAAACCAATCACAGAACCGAGGGAGTCGGAAGCCTTCTGGTGACTATGCAAACACCCCGCACCTCTGTGGATCCATTTACCCAAGGAACTTAAAGGACTTTATAATGGGCAATTAAGCACCACAGCAGCCAAATGAGGTAGGCATATTTCTGCTTTAGACTAAATTGGCAAATTAAGGCCTACAAGTGAAGCAATCTACTAACGGTAACACAGTGACTCAYGCAGCTCAAAAGGCAAAAGAGACAATTACATCATTTATTCCAAGTGGCTGAATATCACATGCCCTTAAATTTCACCCAAATATTCCTACGCAGAGCCTACCACAGCATTGCTTCCTAAAAGACATGCAATTATGGCTTGAAGGCATTGAGAAGCCACCACAGCCAGCAGCGCTCGTTTCGGGGGAAGTTAATCACTTTCCTTGTTTTGCGCAAGCCTTCTTTTGCATTGGAACATGTCTGGCTTCTGTCTCCACCATTGATCCTAATCTTGCAGCAAAAGGCATTTAAAAAGCCTTCAGTAAGCATTCCCTCCCTGTGGAGACCTCCTGCAATCAAGACATACATCTTAACTTTTGATAAGCTAATCAAGAATTTGAGGGGGGAAAAAAATGCCTTGCTAAAAGAGATTTAACAGCTTGATTTTATGGTTCTTTTCTACTGTTTGTCCAGAGTGTTCAGTATCCTTCTGAGTAAGACAAAATGGGAAACCATATTCTAGAGCCATTCCTTCACTGTTAAATAAAAGGTAAGAATTGCAGTTGTGTTTCCTGTGTGAGCTGTATGATATATAAACAGTGTCACGCCAGGAGTTCCTGGTGAGCTGCTTATTCTCAGACCTGCTCAAGGCTCTGCTTTCCACAATACAATAATTCGCTCTAGCAGCAGGGCCTGCATGCCTCACTTTTTGATACATACATAAACACGTCTTTCTTGCAGCAGCTCCAGCTCACCAACAATCCCAGCCTCTCTCACTGACTGAGATTTCCCCATCCTTACATACAATCCTGTGAATTCTGCATTCTCTTGGAAATGTGCAGTGCTGACMGAAGTTAAGACTCTGACCTTTCACATGTTAACTTTGTCTTATCATGGCCTCCGTGCATCTCTAATGATTCTTAATGCCAAAACCTCTCCTTATATTGCTATCTCCATGCATTCCCCCAGGTTCCTTTTCCTTTCTCATGTCTCAGACAACACACCGTTTTCCTTTTTGAGGGAGGACTCTGTGTTTTGTCTTGTTTGACACTGTTGCTTACGTTTGAAACTTTGGTGTCTACCTCTATATTACAGAATTATGGAATGGTTGAGGTTGGAAGAGACCTCTAGAGATCCTCTAGTCCAACCCTCTGCACACGCAGGGTCACCTAGAGCACGTGGCACAGGGTGGCATCAAGGCAGGTTTGGAGGACCTCCAAAGAAGGAGACTCCACAATCTCTCTGGGCTCTCTATATAACAATCCTTCATTTATTGTCACAGATCTATTSTATGTATTACAGACAGCTGCTTCATGTCAAATAACATGCATGTATGGGCTCTAGTAACACTAAAATAGTAGACCAAGCTTGAATTTTTGCATGATAGCATACAAGTTAGGGAACATGGATACATCCTAAGATCCAGGCTTCCAAATGCCTGTGCTTGGCTCCTGCCAGCTGATGACCCGTCCATGCACAGARGGATTCCACATGTCCTCCCTCTTCCTATTTCAGTTGTGACAGGGAAGTTTTTCACCTCTGCTGCAGCATTCATACTATGGAGACCTCTTGTAGACAAGATTAATGATCACCGTTTACTTATTTTTAATGGAAAAAGCCACACACCTTGAATTTTAGTTTTGAAGTGTGGGTATTTATTGAGAACTTTGACTTGTTTCTTCCAGTTGAACTGATTCTTCCAATAGGAGACAACCTTCTTGAGATATACTGAATTAATCCCATACTGGAAACAACTGTTCTCCAGTGGCTCAGTGAATCGAGCTTGGTCGAGTCTCCTAAATAAGTCCTAAAGGAAAAAACAAAGAAGGAAAGAGATGCTACAAGCATTTATAACTTTAATCACTAGTTTTTGCAAAAATTTATTTAGAAAGAAGAGTTTACTACTGATGGATGATGACTCAATATTGTTGCAATACTACAATATAGTATTGTGAATTTCAAAAAATCTGTAGATTAGTAATCTAACTTTGTGTGCAGTGCAAAGGAAATCATATTTATTACAGATCAATGTCCATTTATATCACTAAGGAGAACAAACGAAGCATTAAAAAATGGGAAAAAAATCAGGCTTCACAGAGAAAGCAATCCATTATAACTGAATAACATGGGCAATCCCCTGAGTACTGTTCAAATCATTATTCCTGACGGGTCTAGGAAATTGCACAAGCCCCGATTAAACACACAATCAACAGCTTTGCTAGCTAACAAATTCTGCAACCTAAGTATTTCTGCCATTTTTGCACCATGATGTTAGCGCTGACCAAAGGAATACATCAATTAGAGAAGAACTACCATTTGAGCATTTAAAAGTTGCAGCAGTCTTTAGCTGCAGACAGAAGGCACTCAAGAAAACAAAATATTTGTATCTGCCTTTGAAAGAAATAAAGACATTATTATTATTATTACGGGCTATACAGTCAGCCTGAGCAAGGGCTATCTATCCATTCAAACTTATCTCTAAACTAATAGAAAATCATTTCCCACTCCCACCTGTTGGTGATTCCTTGTTTTTACAGAAGTAGATATTGGTTCAGTTTAAAAACTACTTCCATACAAGTTCCACATTTACTTGGTCATTTCATACTTCTCTCTCCCCTGTATAGAAACATGCTTACACTCAGCTCTTCCTCGATAGTTTCCACCTTAAATGGTCGAATAGCTGCATCTTCTTCAGTGTCAGGCTTTTGTCCCCTGCCCCACCATCCCTCTTTAAAGGGTAAAGTGTCTTGTTTCTTCTTGGAAAGGAAGTAATAGTAGATGACTGTCCCCACAATCAGGGTCACAAGTATGCCAAGCAGCATAATGCCTGCAGAAGAAGAACCAAACGCTGGTGAGCTAAATASGATAGTTGAGAAACATGTGACATACTTCCAAAAATACAAAAGCTTAGTCATTTTTTAAGATGGGATTTGATCTACATATTTAAGTTTCACTGATCACACTCAGGACATCAATTCTTTGCATTTATATAGAATAGACAAATCAGACTTTGCAGATTTCACTGCAAATCAGACAAATAGGTTGTGTTAGCAAGATATTGATTACATTGTATATTTTTGCATTATGGATRCTGTGTGCTCCATGTTGGTGGTGGCATTTTGTTGCCTAGGCCACAAACTGACATCTCTAGAGGCATCATACTGTTACAGCATTTGGTCAGCATTGAATTTTGGGGGAGACTCCACATCCACAGAATTAGTTCTTCAGCTTGCCCATTTCCCCACGATGTGAACAGCAGGCAGAGCAAAGGCTCTAGATCTCAGAGGCCCCAGTTCCTTCTGGTGCACTACCCAAGAGCAGAGCGTGAGGGCAGACGCGTCCAGCCTCCACGTCAGCCTGGGAACCAGGGGCAGGAGGGAATATTTGCACAGTAGTCAACATTGGTGCAAAGGGTAAAAACAACTTCTCTTTCCTTGGCCCTCTGAACCCTTTAAAAAGAAAACAAAAGAGGGCATACATGCCCTATTGCTTCCAAAACACCCTGCAAGAGACAAAAATCAGCCTGAAATCAATTTTGAATATTTTTGAACTGCTTCATGCTACAAGTAGAACAAAAATCAGATTCGCTTTAATAATTAATGTTTTCAAGATTCCCTTCAAGTATGAGAAATGTTTGGATTGTGGTTTGCGGAACAGGGTTATCATCACGTTAATACATTATTTTAAAGAATGCTGTATTTCCCACAACTATATGCTAGGGGAACTGCTAAAACTCTAAACATCGCTACCCTCTTTTGTAGTGCACGCAGTGCTTAGGACACAGCTGTCCGCATTTTCTCCAGAGCTGGAAGATTTTGTTGTTTTGTTTTTATTCCAGCACAGTAATCTGATGCCCTGAAATCGCTGTAAGGACTAAATAAAATAGTCAGTGAAGAGAATGGACCAAATTCATCCCTGGATCAAAGCAAGAATTCCGACACAAGCTACTGGCAGTTTACGTAGTTATAACAGGAGTAAAGCAGACCCATATCACAGAATCACAGAATGGCTGAGATTGGAAGGGACCTCTAGAGATCATCTAGTCAACCTCCCTGCTCCAGCAGGGACACCCGGAGCACGGGGCACAGGGCGGCATCCAGGCGGGTTTGGAAGATCTCCAGAGAAGGAGACTCCACAGCCTCCCTGGGCAGCCTGTTCCAGGGCTCTGTCACCCTCACAGCAAAGAAGTTCCTCCTCACATGGAGATGGAACTGCCTGGGTTTCAACTTATACCCATTGCCCCTTATCCTGTCACTGGCCTCCAATGAGAAGAGCTTGGCCCCTTCCTCCCTACATTCCCCTTCATGTACTTGTACATGTTAATCATATCCCCTCTCAGCCTTCTCATCTCCAAGCTAAACAGGCCCAACTCACTCAGTCTCTCCTCATATGAGAGATGTTCCAGTCCCTTAATGATCTTTGTCGCTCTCCACTGGACCTTCTGAGCTCCACGTCCCTCCTATACTGGGGTGCCCAGAACTGMACACARYAYTCCAGGTGCRGCCTCACCAGAGCTGAGGAGAGGGGCAGAATCACCTCCCTTGACCTGCTGGCAACACTCCTCCTGATGCAGGCCAGGATCCCATTGGCCTTCTTGGTCACGAGGACACACTGCTCACTCATGGTTAACTTGCTGTCAACCAGGACTCCCAGCTCTCTCTCCRTSGAGCTGCTCTCCAGCAGGTCGACCCCTAATCTGTACTGATGCCTGGGGTTATTCCTCCCCAGGTGCAGGACCCTGCACTTGTCCTTATTGAACCTCAGGAGGTTCCTCTCTGCCCAACTCTCCARCCTGTCCAGGTCCCTCTGAATGGCAGCACAGCCCTCCAGAGTGTCGGCCACTCCACCCAGCTTGGTGTCGTCTGCAAACTTGCTCAGGGTGCACTCCGTGCCCTCATCTAGGTCATTGATGAACAAGTTGAACAGCACTGGGCCCAGTACTGACCCCTGGGGGACATCACTGGCCACAGGCCTCCAGTTAGACTTGGCCCTATTTATTACCACCCTCTGAGCTCTGCCATCCAGGCAGTTCTCAATCCACCTCACTGTGCACTCATCCAGACCACTCTCCCGGAGCTTCCGTATGAAGATATCATGGGAGACGGTGTAGAAAGCCTTGCTCAACTCAAAGTAGACAACATCCACGGCTCTCCCCTCATTCAGCTGGCCAGTCATCCCATCATAGAAGGTTATAAGGTTCATCAGACATGACTTCCCCTTGGTAAATCCATGCTGACTACTCCTCAACACCTTCTCCTTTGTATGCCTGGAGATGCTCTCTAGGATGAGCTGCTCCATCACCTTTCCAGGGACAGAGGTGAGGCTGACCGGCCTGTAATTGCCCGGCTCCTCCCTCTTGCCCTTTCTGTAGACTGGAGTGACATTGGTCTCTTCTAGCCCTCCAGCACCTCCCCTGCTCTCCAGGACCTCTCGAAGATGATGGAGAGAGGCTGAGCAATAACCTCGGCCAGTTCCCTCAGCACTCTTGGGTGCATCCCATTGGGGCCCACAGATTTTTGGGTGGCCAGTTTGTCTAAGTGATCCCTAACCCAATCTTCTCAACTAGCAGAAGGTCTTCCTCTCGCCCATTTATATCTCTTTCACCTGAGCCCTGCAGTTCACGGGGAGTGGTCTCAGCAGTAAAGACAAACGCAAAGAAGGCATTTAGTTAACTCTGCCTTCTCGGCATCCTCCGTCACCAAGGCCCCCTCCCCATTCAGCAGTGCACTAACATTTTCCCGCATCTTCCTCTTGCTCCTGACATAGAAACCCTTCCTGTTGTCCCTGACATGCCTCGCCAACTCTAACTCCACACTGGCCTTGGCCTTCCTCGTTGCGCATTTGCATTCTCTGATAAGGCACCTATATTCTTCCCACGTGGCCTGGCCCTTCTTCCACATGCTGTACGCTCTTTTTTTTTTCTCATTAACTTTGCCTAGCAGCTTGTGTGATCTTGCCCAGTATCTTGTAGGATCTGTCTGACAAGATATACTGTAGTCCATCTCTTTGGCTACTTTTCAGAATTGCACTGCTAAATAAGCACTACCGAAATATCAGTAGAGAAGCTGGACCCTACTGAGACAAGACTCCAAGCTACACAAATACACTGCTCATGCAGCGAAGCACCACAGCCTTGCAAAGTGGCTCGAGATTCCTTAACCCACACAGACTGCAGAGTGGGAACAAGAGACCCTGGAAGAATGGGATCTGCTTACCAGTTTCACTGGTCTTTTAGAATTATTGCTGTCATTGGAGAAAGTGCTGATTTTCCCCCGAGTCCTGTGTCTGAAGCACAAAACAAACATCCCTCTAGTCCCACCATATTCAAGCCCTGATTTATCCCAGAATTTTGTCCAGTTTAAGCCTCAAAACATACACCATTACAGTCTAAAAGCTTCCATTTCACTGCAAAGCAGAACAGGAGGGGGTTTTAGAAACCTCGAAGCACTCTACATAATAACTAATACTTACCGTGGTATTTAACAGATAGTGTTTCTATTCCTGAGTCACAGAGAAGCAGCAGCAACTTCTCTCGAACTGCCAGCCCAATTCAAGATTACAAAGGCTGGCCAGCATAGCTCTCAACGCTTAACCTAGGAAAATTCAAACCTTTGGCCAACTTCAGCATGTTACCAAAGGTCCCGTATGAAGAGTTGTGCCAAGATTCCCATTTCAGCCTAGCTAAACTCAGCTATAAGTCACAGGAGTGCCCAGGGCTACTGGATTTCCCCCAGCTGGACTCAGTGAGACCAGAAGTTTGGGAGCAGCACGAGGCAAGCGCGTGCAAACAGGCACATTTTGCATTTGCCAACGAGCGTGCGTGCAAAGAACTCATTACGTGAAAACAGGCAAAGTTGCACATTTTGACAATTAATATCAAATGTATTGTAGGATGAGTTCATTTACAGACCAGCAGTAAGTGCCGAAATTAATTTCCGGCCTCAACAAAGTTCCATCTCTTACTGCAGAGGACTGAGATGGGTGACAAATCACTTCGTCCAAACCATCATCTTTGTCTGGAAAGACGTCACCTCCAGTATTCTTCGGATTATGTCTTTCTAAAGGAGATCCCAGGTTGCTCTCTATAGTCGACGTGTTTCAGTTCCCTTGTAAGTGACTGCACAGCCCCTTGTCATTTCCGTAGGGAAGAACACAGAGGCCTTGGCTGCTGTGACAGAGAAGTCATTAGCCACATTAGTCTCCTGTTCCACACTTCTCCTGCTGCAGCAATACAGCAGCACAACTGTGGAAGAAGGAACAGATACAAAAAAAAAAAAAAAAAAAAAAAAAATCTGTGCATGCAATTTGCAGAGATAGAAAGAATAAAGTGGTGTGTTTATTCTCTAAGGTCTCCTGATGCAACAGGGCAGGCATGTTGCTTCTAAGAGCCACAACTTCAAAGGGAGTTTTGTTTTGTTTAAGTGACCAAAGCCAAGACCTTAGAAAGAAATTTTCCATTTATCCCATGGTCAAGTACTTAAAGCCCCAGGACTTGCTGTTCCCCGGGGTGGATATTGTTTGTGGATAAGCGTTGACACGATGCATGATATTTCTCCATAAATAGTCTGAGAAAGAATGTTTTCATTTTGCTACTTTAAAAGTATGTTTTAAAAGAAAAAAAAATGTTAAATTGTGACAGACTAGTAAAGTACCCCAAAATTAGCTCCTCTTGAAGGAAGCAAAGTGCTTTTCAAGAAACTGCCGATGTTTTAAAGCTCCCAAACCAAAGAAATTCAAAACGTTCCTACAGGATCTTACCACTCCTGTGGAAAGTGGTCTTACGTTTCAGCATTTTTTGCACTTTGATTTGCACTTTTCTCCACCTGT